TTCAAGGGAACACACAAAGCCACTGTTGGCTTCCTAGGAAGGAGCCACTTAAGATTATCGATCGCAACAATGATGACGAGGCGAGTCAACCGCCAACCAAAATTTCCACTCGCAACCTTCCAACTGTGAGCGATGACCGCTACGCTCGGTAGAGGTTCAGCCCCGCAACTGTCTGTGCTCACGGCACTGCTGGTGGAAGGCCCCTCCACTCGAGGAAGCTCAAGACAGTACCTTGAGGGTATTTGGCCTACTCTTCCACGATGGCCAGACATCACGGAAGCGGTGAGGGTACGCACATTTTACATTCGGTGGGGGGCCGGGGGGGGTTTAAGAACCCGCTCCATCGTTTCACCTGACGCGCCGGGAGGTTGCGTTGAACCGTGTGCCTCACCGTTACTCCATGGCAGCATCCCTAACCGCGATACGCTTCCGAGTCAAAAACAACGTACGTTCTGTGCAATTGAATATTCGAGAAGCAAAAAAAAATCACGCAAAATGTACGGAATATGTAGATGCACGTCTCCAATGTACATTTGGCCTCGTATTTAACCGGTGGCGGTAACGCACCACGACGAGACGATGGGGCGTGGTGCACGAAATGCAACGTCGCCAGATGATGCCATGCAATGACATCATCGTTGCATGACATCATACAATGACATGACTCCTCCCCCGCCACCGTAACGTTGCAAGGAGTAACACGACAACGGCACGCCGTGGTGGTCAGAATATTCAGCTCGGCAATTTGCTTCAGCCGCATTCGTAAGGGGAAGAAAATATTCCGTTGGCCGTGGCCGAGAATTAAAAGTCAGGTCGCCGGGTTCATCGTGCAGCGCATGCCTGAGCTTCACGTTAATTTCCCTTAGTCAGGCAGGATAAGTCTCATTTGCAAGAGTGATCTAGAGTTACCGATAATGGCAAAAAAAAAAACAATCAAAATCAGAACGCAAGTAATACCACAGCTACACCCGATGTGAATATTAATAAGGGAGACATTTGTAATCCGTAATGTTTGTGCATCGCATTATGATTCATAAGGTTATTTCGGGTGAGATCGCATAAACCCCCCCAAAAAAACTATTGTGGATAATATTGGTAACGTGAAAGCCTACGTGTTAAACTAACGTTATTATTATTATGGAACATTGTGTGTAAGTAGCTAGGTGGGGGTGACTCATAGCCACAAACCATTAGGCATTTAATCTGCCCACATTATTGATTGCATGTGTGTACCATTAGCATGCCAGTGGTCCAGTGAGAGCTCGTGTATGGATGCATCATTCATTACAGGGCATGGCTGCATTATTTCACCAGTCCAAGTAATACAACTCATCACCGACATATTACAACATTGGGAGCATTATATAACACAGCTGAAATAATGGGAGCAAGTCTTGTTTTGATTCCACCCCCGCACCCACCTCTGTCCGCCTAGAATCATAAATGGGTAGACCAGACAGCCGATAGGCAGGTTCGCGTGCGGCGAGGTAAAGTGCAATGTGGAAGAGTAGGCCATAACACCCTCGAGTGGGGCCCACCAGAGGGCCTTCTGCCAGCGGTGTAATAAGAAAGCAACTGCAGGGCCACAGCTGTACGTTTTTTTTACCGTTCATAATAGATATACAGCATTGCACACGTACGTAACACGTGCGTTTATAAGATAGCATGCCCTCATTTGTACAGTACTTGTGTTAATCCATTGCGAGGTGATGGGTGTCCCCACGTTGTAATGGTCATGGGGACCGTTTGACCAATCTCGGTTAGTTGGGATTTGTCTGCATTTGTCAAATGTCACCATCTCTTGTCGATATCTGCTTAATCAAATCACTGGGCTGGTACCACCACTGGAGAGGGATTGCTCAGAATGTCAACCGTTATAAATGTTTTTTCCATCTCGGCTTTTAAGGCAGTCAAGAGGTTTTTTTTACGTCTCTGGAGAGCAGGGGTCTGTATACGTGTCCCGGTGGTACAGGACGCCATGGGCCAGTCCCCACCACTACAGAGGACAGGTCTCTGAGTGCGTGTGTGGCGGTTCACTATGGAGGATGGGTGTCTGACTGCGTGTGGCGGTTCAGTCTGGCAAAACAACCCCGCCTCCTCGTTGGTGTTGGACGGCCACGCTGTGGTGAGCAGTGCCATTCCCCTCATGGCGTTTGTAGCCACCACAGCAGCCAAATGGGGGCTCTGGATGGGTGCGAGGGGTTGGTAACCCCTCCACCTTCAAATAGATTACGATACCATGGAAGACAAATCTAATTAAACCTTTGCAGGAGGCCCCAGTGGGACAGGCGTCCATGACGTCTCCTGGCCAAACCCCATTTGGCGGAGCCAGGAGGTTGAATCCTTACCCTCAGGGTTCCTCCAAAAACAACAACAAAACACTGCAGGGGGCTACGTGGAATGTTCCAACGCTCACTTCGGAGGAAAGGCTGCCACTTCCCATCAACCAGAGGCGAGGAGTGGTGGTCGTGGTTACTTATGCCCCACCGAAGACGAACATCCGTGGAGGGATGCAGGCAAAGCCGATGGTCAGATGCCTTCTATGACCTCCTGTCACAGGTGCTAGCTAAAGTGGCCCCTCGAGAAAAAGTCATCCTGTTGGGTGACTTTAATGCCCGAGTTGGTAATGATAGTGGCACCTGGTCTGGAGTGATTGGAAGGCATGGGCCAGATCATCTCAATAACATTGGTAGGAGGCTGCTAGATTTTTGTGCAGCCCATAGGCTTGTAATCACCAACACGCTCTTCCGGCATCGGCGCATCCACACAACATCATGGATGCATGCCGGGTCAAAGCAAGAACTTCTGCTTGACTACTTAGTGACAGAACATTGGATGCGGGCCCATGTCCTTGACACCAGGGCCTACCGTGGAGCTGATCTGCCCACTGACCATCGATTTGTCATCTGTAAGATGCGCCTGCCATTCTTCCACTCCGGTGGTGGGTGTACACCCAGGACCCCATTTAAACCCATAGTGGCCTGGTCTCAGCTAGGTGATGAAAATTGCAAGCGAGAATTTAATCATCGATTGCGGCTGGGGTTGGCATCGTCCCCCACTCCTCCTGATGTCGAGGGGAAATGGGCGAGGTTTAGGACTGTGGCTCATGTAGCTGCAATGGCTGCATTGGGTACACCGTCCTTACCTCCCCAGAGATTCTGGATGACAGAGGTGTTCAGGCTGGCTGAGAATAAGTGACAGGCACACTCTCAACGTCTACAGCATCCCACATCAGAGAATGAGGAGACTTACCAAAACCTTCGCTCGGAGGTTCAGAGAGCCATGAGGCGCTGCAAGGATGGGTGGTGGTCACGGGTTGCTGAGGAGAAGGAATCTGCCTCAGTGGCCTGCGATCACAAATCGCTTTTTAATTCCATAAAAAAGTAACGTGCAGCGCCACACATATTACCATTATTAGGGAAAAGAATGGTGATACAATCTCCGATCCCCAGGAACAGGTTTGCAGATTTGCTGAGCATTACTGTGAGGACCTGGGGAGGGGAAATTTCTCTGCCTGGAAAACATCGTGGGGCAAAGTGGGGATGACCCTGCTGAGGCTGCGGTGCCTAAAATATTGGAGGAAGAAGCCTATGATACGATCAGTAGGCCTGGGCTCTGGGTTGTTCTTCGTGCTTTCGGAGTCCTGACTCTCTGCTCATGATCATTAAGGACCTTGATGATGGTGAGTGGGCCTGGGTAAAACTACATGGCCGGGAGTCAGAGCCATTCCCTGTTCACCTTGGGGTGCGACAAGAATGTCCTCTGGCTCCCACATTATTTAACATCTATTTTGACCACGTAGTTCGTGAAGCCTTCGATACAATGGGAGGCCGATCCAAGCCCGGGTGCGGTCAACCATGTTACATATGCCGATCTGGTAATTGCTGCTCACTCAGAGGAGGAGTTGGAGGCGCTGCCACTAAGAGGTGGGGGCCTTACCATCAGCCCCACCAAAAATAGGCACCTGCCTGGGTATTTTGTACCATCAGACACTCCACCCCTACAACTCCCAATTGGTGATGGGGCAGTTGTGGAAAGAGTGGATAGTTCCCATAGCTGAGCAGTGTGCTTATGACCGGCTCCAATTTGACAGCAGAAGTCTCACTCCGAATTAGTCGAGTGGCAATATCTTTTCATCGGTTGCGTAACGCTGTGTGGAAGCAACCTAGTCTGTCGCTCCGCACAAAGCTTCAGGTCTTCTCGGCCACAGTCATTCCCTCCCTTCTCTACGCTTGCGAAACGTAGACCCCCCTAATGGAGCATCTTCGCCAATTAGAAACATTTAGGCTGGCCTACCTACGATCCATCCTGGGTTTAACGAGGCTGGATTGTGTGAGGAGCTCACAAATCCTTGAAAGATCTGAGCAAGGTCCCATCGGTGAGCTCCTCCGGCAGGCAAGGCTGCATTGGCTGGGTCATGTAGCCCGCATGCCCAGCCACCGCATGCCTAAACAGCTTTTATTCGGCCGGATCGAGGGGGCTAAACGGGCGCGGCACGGGCTAGAGCAGAGATGGAGTCATGTGGTACAGGAGGACGTGGAGCTGAGTGGACTTGCCGATGACTGGTACCAGTGGTGTCAAGATCGGCCTCTGTGGAGGAGGCTCGTGAAGGACGCTACTGGGCAGTTGGAGGCAGTCGTCTTCCAACAACAACGGAGGGCGGAGGAGCGACACTCACAACAACGAACGGAGTGCCGGGTGGCTAAAGCACCGCAAGTTGGCACAGTAGGGGGCACAGGTGGTGCATCAACCAGTCGTCTCAGTCGACCTGTGTAATCTGGGTCTGCCCCGTGACCTCCTGCCAGCGGGCGTTCGACACTTCACGTGGCCTCAACATGCACAAAGCCTGGCACAAGCGCCGTGGTGACATCACTGCCACTTAGTGGCAAATGGCGGTTGTTGTGGCGGTTCACTACGGAGGACAGGTCTCTGAGTGCGTGTGTGGTGGTTCACTACGGAGGACAGGTCTCCGAGTGTGTGTGTCGCGGCTCGTGCCGTACCTGCTCCACCGTGGTCAGGTGCCGCCGTTTCTCGTCGGCCGCCGCGCGCCGCTTCTCGTCGCGCTCCCTCTGCTGCTCGACGCGCCGCCTACGCTCGTCCCTCTGCTGCTCCTGGTGCAGGCGAGCGCGCTCCTCCCGCTCCTGCCACGCTCGCTCCCGGGCGGCTGCACAGTGCGAGCACAACGGCACGGGGGTCAGCGGCGTGAATGTTGTCGTCGTCGTTGCGTTTATCCGCCGAGTCCTGCGAGTTCTTTCCAGGAGGCACTTGCCATGTTGTCGTAGTGGCGGGGTGACGATACTTACATGGACTCCGATTGCATAATTTTGCGCGTAATGTTTTGAAATGTAATCAAATTCGGACCGCGATGTCGGTGGCCCACATTTGGCCTAACTCTTGCGAACGGCGTCACGGGATCGTTAACGTCCACTCTAGAGGGCGCGAGTATCTTCGTGGTTTATACGCACACTGCAGTATTAATCAGGGCAGCCGCTGGGTTTCGAACTGCGAACCTCTGCCAGGCCACGTGAGTGGCGGCCTTCGCCAGGGATCGATTCCAGTTGGGTCCACGTGGGGTCAGTGACATAGAGGTCATCCCCCCCCCCCCCCACTGGCAGACCAATGCCCGCTAGCAGGCCAGGTTCCGAGTCATCCTTGTGCCACACAGCGACAGCTGCCACTGGGGGGGGCTCTTTCATATGTTTGAGACAAGAGGAGATGCAAGTTGCCGATCGCCCGTAAAGCAATCAGCAAAAAAAAGCCATGATCAGCACAGCACACCTCGTGCTATGGCTGTGGCCACGACGAGTTGTGTGCCACATACTTCCAGTTTATCAGCTACCAGGAAAGTAGACAGTGAAAATTAACTCTGTCGCCATTTCATCGTGTTCTCTGCATGCGGAGGATAGATCCAGTGGTTAGGATTGTGCCCACTGCCGCTTATGATTCGCTGATTGAGTGTATCATCGTCCCCGGGTAGCCGCAGCAGCGATTGCAGTGGTAGGGCAGTCGCGTCAGTACGAATGTCATCGTTGGCATCGTGATCATCCCATTGCAGCAACAGCAGCATGCCAGCAGATGTCAACATCACAATCAGCGGCAGCAATAATGGTGAAAAGGCAGCACTGTTAGCAGTAGCCGGATCATTAGTAGGTGTTAGCAGTAGTGTCATATGATGAAAGAATATAAATGGAATCTGCAGCATCATTATTATTATTATTTCACTTGTCTGCCCAGGAGAGCCCCACTCAGTCTCAAGATTTTTTCAGAATCCTTCCCTAGTATTCACCACAGCAGGCAAATGTTGCGATGCTTCAACTCAATTTAATAATTTAAAAACAAAAATTAGCATTGGGATGTTTGGCCCATACCAGTTACACTGTATGTTTTTGGTATGACAGCCAATATCAACAATACCAATATCACCATCATCATTATCATCAGTAGCATAACCAGTACTGTATCAGTAGCAACAGAGCACTGTAGTAACATTAATAACAGTACTCTTAGGTTTTTTCGGTAAAGTCACGTTGGAAAAAAAATAATTTTTTTCTATTATTATTGCTATGATTTTTAGTGTAAAACGTATTATTTTTTTATTTTTTGCCTACGTGACTTTACCGAAAATAACCTAAGAGTATAAATCTTTGCAGTCACGAAAGCTTCAAATCTAGAATTAATAACAGTGTTGTATTATTAGCATCAGTGCCATTATAATGAGCAGGAGTATTGGCAGTAGCGTTGTTCCTAGCAACAAAAAGGGCAGCAGAGATATGATCAGTAAGGGTATTATCATCATCAGCAGCAGCTTAATTAGCTGCAGATGCAGTATCAGTAATAGCAACTGCAGTAATCCTCTTAGCAGTATTTGCACTAGAATTATTCTTCATCATTAACATAGTCATACTAATTTGCACTGATAACATTGAATTTATTTTCCCCACAACAATTTATGATTATCGCAGACGGTCACCGCATCACGTGCTTTCAAATGCACTTCTGCGGCTGTCTGGAACGCCCTTCCTTCCGATATTAGGACGCCACTGGAGCTATGCACTTTCAAATCATCTCGATTGACAAACTCAAATTCTTTAGAACTGCTTTTGGTGTTTCGCTTGTTGTACTTCCTCCGCACCTCCTATTAGCACGATTGCCTATGTAAGGTGCGGAAGAAGTTCAACACACACATAGGAGAGGCGATGTCCTGCTGCCACTAGAGCTATTCCAAGTCATATTAGGCATGATGATACCATCAAATCGTTAAAATAACATTTTAAAATATATACGTTGACATGGCTTGCCATCGAACAAAGACGGTCACTGCATCACGTGCTTTCAGATGCACTTTTGCAGCCGTCTGGAACACTCTTTTTTCCGATATTAGGAAGCCACTGAAGCTATGCACTTTTAAATCATCTAGATTGAAAACTTATTTATTTACAACTGCAGTTTGTTGTCCTTCCCGCTCACCTCCGAATAGCACGGTTCGCTACGTGCGGTGCGAAAGAAGTTCAACGTACATACGTACGTCTCGCGTAAATTAATCCCCCGTCCCATGGAACGGACACAATCCCACCGACGTCCCCTCTCACCCAGCAACTTCTCCTGCTCCTCGCGGCGCTCCTTGGCTTGTCTCAGCTTGTCTTCCATCTTCCCGTTGGCTCCCTCTAAGACGGAGATGGTTTCTGAGAAGGAGCACAGACACACACACGCACGCACACAATTGATCGATGAATAAATAACAATGCAGGAATAATAACCACGCAAAGCACTCCGTCTTCGCATAGAACCACGTTTTGTTTTTGTCTGCCGGCCAACGGGGCCTTCCTCACCAACGCTGTCCCCGCTCCAATGTTTTAAGCGGGCTAACTCTGCGCTGGTTTTATAACTTTCTCATCAGCAGTCCTGCCTGTTAAAAAGAAAAAAACCCAGCAACCCAAAAGCGACTTTGATTAACAGACGTTCGAGTCAGAAGAGCACTCCACCTTGGCAATAGGGTCTGATCACGACGGGTTAAGGGATCGTATACGGTAGATAGCAGAGCAGCCGAATGTCAGGAACGCGTCCGCTTTATTCGACCAATATGTTTAAAACAAAGAAAGTATCTGACGTGCTGTGGCTTTAGAAAGAGTACGGCCACTGCCAGCGACGCCGATGGTGACGCTAATCCGTTGCGACGAGGCGAAGCCCACGCAGGCATGATCACCGCCTAAGCTTCTGATCCCTCGCGCAAGTGAAATTCACAGCAGCCACTCGGTTCGTTGCGAGATGACAGACTGAGATACACTGCACCGCACTGTACAGACAATCGCATAGTCCCGTTTCGGAAAATTGTCGCCACACCGCCGTTGATTGTCTTTGCTCGTTGAAATTTTCTAAAATAAAATTACCAACTCGAGAATTCATGTTTGTGGTTAGATAATGTAGATATTATGCATTTACATTAATGTTTTGCGTAATGAATTTCGGAGTAATTGACAGCATGGTGATTACTGGACGTCATCATTGTACTAATTTATATGCTACTGGCAGAACGTACGTTATAAGAAAGGTAGATTTAAATAACTAAAAGACCTGCGGCTGGTAAAATGCAGTTGAGGAACCGAAACATTTTTTGTTCATACAGCAACGCACAAAGACTACGCAATAAAACGCATAAAAAACAATTACAAAGCTATGTTGAATTTATTTAGCACCGTACGTAGCCAACCACGCTAATCGGAGGTGCGGGGGAAGGACAACGAACTAAACACAACAATATCGAGTATGCTGAAATATGACATCGAATTGTGGTGGTGCACGCACGTGACACGGCGCTGTGCAGGTGGGTTGGTGGATCGCCCAGAGATCACCGCGTGGTGCGAGACTTCCACTGGGCTGCGAGGTGGCCAGGAGACTGCAGTGCAACATTGCGGCTGCCGGCCCAGCCGCGTGGACATTTTGTGCGATGGCCTTTCTCGGGGTAATCAGTCTGCTTACCATGGCAAAAAAGGGACACTCGCTGTAAATGTAGATGGCCAAACATCTTAACACAGCAGCATCTCGGTAGAGCCTTGACACTTCATGAGGCTTTCTGGGTATGGATTTAATTAAATTATTCCCGTAAGCTTTAATGAATGAATTCACTATATTTCAACTAACAGTAGCGTCGGTCGCATATCCGACTCGCTGGTAGTACATGTTTATGCCATTTATTGTGAAAATTCCGTCACAGTTCCTATGATTGCTTTTTCATTGCTTTCATGGCTTTATTTTGGTGATTTCGAAAAGTTTTTTGGTTTAGCCATGTTTGTTTGTTGTAGTACAGAGTTAGACTGATGGCCTTAATCTAAGTTGTCTTGTGGTTGTTGTTGTTTGACTTGCATCCCACTGGGATTTTTGCACACAGCGTTGGTGTACAGTGTTTTTTTCTGCAATATTTTGCTGTCTTTTCTTGGATTTTCTGTTTGCACTTAGTCACATATTCACTTTAAGATGTTTTTTGTTCGTGTTTTAGTTTTTTGTTTGTTGCGGTTGTACCCGATTGAAGAGCCGAATGGCTCACAGGGCTATACCTAATAAATGAACTTGAACTTGAGGGAAACGTGGATATGTGAACATCTATAGACAGTTAATTGGTCAGGGAGATGATGTGATAGTTGGATATGTGACGTTGGACTAACTTTCTAAAACGACAGAAGAACACGTTGAAAACTGCTGCTGTTACTTATGAATCTCATTATTGTACAAGCACATCGTCCGTGACAAAAATAATCCCTGGTGATTATGATCGAGTGCATTAATAATGCTCTCAATTACTCTAAAACTTCCAGTGAAGAGCATCACAAATTCATCACGTTGCACGAGTCCGTGGGTGAAATATGACAGCGAATTAAGGGATGCCGCAGATTTCTACTGATGGTATAATGTTCCATTGCAGCGTGTGGGCAGAATGTATCATCAGCCCCGCTGCTGCTCCCTTGCACAGGCGCGGAGGGGGGGGGCTTTGCCATTGTGTGTGCTGACTGCGTCTGCAAAATTAGCTTATGCCATTACAGTCCGCCATGGCCGAGCCAACTTGAATGGCACACCAACAAAAACCCCCATCCATTAGTCCAGAGAAGATTATTACAAAATTAAGCAAAGTACTGTTTGTGGCAGTGATGTCGCCATCGTCATCATCATTATCATCCGCCGTGGTCAATCCACTGGTGGATGAAGCGCTCCCCGAGGTACAGCCATCTCCTGCAATCCCACCGATGTGACAATCTACTTAACACATGAACACGAGCTAATTTCAGAACTCCATCTCCGCAACGGACGTCTTCTACCACGTGTTCTGTTCCTTGGCTGCCACTGCGTCAATATCCTTCAACCAATCGGTCGTAATTGGCAACATGCCCTTCTAAAGCTCATGAATTTCTTATCAGTTCAAATTCCGTGATCTCTTTCCGTCTCCCAAAGTAATACCCAAGCATGCATTATCTTCACGCTTCTTGAATGCACTTTTAACATTTTTGTTCCTTTTTTTTGTTAAATTTTTTTTGTTAATGTTTATGAACCGCGCGGCACCACGGGTCCAGCAGTTGACCCGACATCATTGCTCCATCCCCGTAGTGGTCGTCCTCCCAAAGCGGTTAATCGGAGGTGTGCACCACTATGCCAGGTTTAACCGAGTGATAATGATCATTCTGTGCATGTAACTGGTCCCTGCCATGGGAATGTGGAATGTCCACGAAGTGGCAATACACCCAAGCGCGAGTGCATTCACCGTTTGTTGCAGGGGTTTGTGTTTCAATCATCTGCGTGCAGTTTATCCGATTTGCGGATTAACCGCACACCTGACATTTTAACATGAATGAATAACTCATGAATTTTCCCTTAAGCCCCGATTAATAATTTTAAAAGTTAAACATTGTGACTTTTGGAAATGTTTATTACAAATCACGTACTTGAATCAACCAAATATATTGCTCCGGTTAATCCAAAATCCACGTGATCGCTCTACAGTACAGTAGTTGCAAATGTTTACAACAGTGGGTGAAGTTTGATATTGATTGGCGTGGCTCTGCTGTCATCCACTTAGTGGGCAGACTCTTCTGCGTGGGAGCCGGAAAGTGTTATCACTGAGCACGCGCGCAGTGATAATAAACTCAATTTTAATAATAGGATTTTTCCCCTTTTTTCTGGCAACAAAATTTAAACCTTTTTACAAGGATTCATGTCTGCATTAACCACAATACTTGCAGTCAAAATGCAAACAAAAAACACACTCTGATAATATATGCATTGTCCTTGAAACGGATTGGTCCACACCAGAGACAGCTTTCTTTTGAGCCTCGTCTCAATTGGTGCTCGACCACATGACGCCAAAAGGCGTACAGCTCAAAGACAATGCTCTATCACAGTAATGAGGGCTCGGGGTGAGCATCTACATCATTAGACCTCCTTTGCCAGTACCAAAATATAATAATAGAGTTTTTCCCCTTTTTTTTCTGGCAACAAAACTGAAACCTTTTTACAAGGATTCATGTCTGCATTAACCACAATACTTGCAGTCAAAATGCAAACAAAAAACACACTCTCATCTGGTCGAGCACTGTCTCTGGTGTGGACCAATCAGTTTCAAGGACAATGCATATATTATCAGAGTGTGTTTTTTGTCTAATGATGTAAACTCAACTCTCTTAACCTAAACATAATGTATACTTATATTAGTGGTTGTTGGCATCGAGATCCAATTAATATTGATATTGTTCGATTATCCGTGATTTCCAATCCGTGGCTGTCTTCCCCGTCATTAGCGCGGATAATCGGCAGTCCACTGTACTTTCATCTTTAGAAATTAAAAAATAATTGTTATTAGGAAATGATGACATAAGTGGCTCGGGTGAACGTGAGGACAGCAGCTGCCAGTGCCCATGGATCGGATACACCGAGGTTAAATTAATCTAACATGACAACACATTAATTTCATAAGGGGCCGTCCATAAATGACGTCACGCGATTTGGGACGATTTTTTACCCTCCCCCTTCGTCACACGGCGTCACAAATGTCTGAACCCCACCCCCCCTAGGTGAGTGACGTCATTTATGGACGGCCCCTAACGACTAAACGTGGTATTTACGTTACTCTAAAAAGGTCGGGAAATCACAAATGAATGGTTATCAACCCAACACTTGTTAAACTACTTTTATTTGACCAGATAAGGCACAATGAGCTATAAAGTGCTTTTTCAGAAGCGACCTGGCCACAAATAACATTCCAATGAAGTGGCTTATCATGTGGAAATGTATAGCAGCCAAACACTATAAATACGCGTGATGTTCATTCATAATTGTGGAGGGAAAAACCTGAAGACTTGGAGAAATAAGTAATATTTTTTAAAACTTTTTTTTAACACGCTTTTATGCAATGTACTAGTAATGGCAGAACTCCACGACTCCAGGAAGTGGCCCCGAAGCTTGCCAATTACAGTGGACAATTAGACCCAAGCCGAAACATAACATATAAAAAAGAATGTTTAAAATCGTATCTTTTTTATTTTTTATGATATAATATAGTAGTCATCAGTATGACATAAGTATACCAAATTTGCAGTCGATACCACATTGGGAAGTGGGTTAGAATTGAGTTACAAGATTTAAGGATACAACAACGACAACAACAGACAGGGTGAGTTAAAAGAAAACGTGTAAAATTCCACGTGGCCACGGGAAGAACATGCAACACTCCAAACGTACAGGCGTCAGGGTCGGGATCGAACCCAAGACCCTCCTGAAGAGCTCAACGTCTGTCCGCTGCTGTTGCCCCCTCAGTGTGAAACTCTGTCCCTTTGCACATCCGTAACATCAAATGCACTTTGACTTTCACGAAACATCTAAAGGCCTCTCCTTCTGTTTAGTCAGGCTTTCGAGCAGCCCTTGAGATTGGCTCCGCACCTCCGAGTTGTTGACTCGTCTGCAAAATCTGTCGCCTTATAAATGTCATAATTATTATTACCAGGCGAGGTTAGTGAACATCTCACCACTGCGGTGCCCTAATTACGCGTATTTGGTACGCCTGTGTGATTGAAAGCCGGGATGATTATTCTATTAAGTCGATTAAGCTAAAATATATGTGTATATGATCGATCACTTTTTTTGTGGTTGATTAAATGAGTCCGTTTAAAATAGGCGCCCACACCACCACCCAAATTTTGCCTCCCTAAGGCAGGAAACCCCCGACAAAGCCACTCCCGGCGCCAATAATGATGCGAACAATGATGCCAATGACATTGCCAATCCCCAACCATTACCTCCCGTCCAGCGGCACACAATTTAACGTACAAATATATAAATATCCGTGTTATCTCAATTAGTCAACTGGATTATTGGTAATCGATTGCTCACAGGATCGGATAGCCCAGCTCTGGAAACGTTTCAGCCCACTTTGGCACAATTACCAAGCGCTGTTTCAACGGGTCACTGGGATGACGATGCTATAATACTGTAATCATGATGAGAAGTATTCATGGGTTTGAGTTAATATTTTTAAAAAATGCTCTCGTGGGTGCTGGCTGATTATATTTTGTAATAAACAGTTGATGGGGACATCATTTGCAGCGTTGGAATTATTTGTACAGTAATCGGAAAATAAGATTTGCAGTACTGGCCTCCTCCACCAAGCCCTGCGCTGTGACCTTGTGTTTTGATGTTGACATCTGAGAGCCACTAGCGGTGATGTCATCGTATCACAAAGACGAAGATCCCCCGTGTAGCCTTCACATACTGTAGGGGCAAGTGCTGTTAGCGAGCACACACACCCTTACCTACATACATACGAACACACACACCCTTACCTACATACGAACACACACACCCTTACCTACATACATACGAACACACACACACCCCTTCTCATGCGTACAGTTGTTAATGAAAATGCAAATGCAGTGATGAAAAGACACAAAGGCACACGCCCATTGAAAGACACAAAACAAATATGCATCCCTGAACAAAGGGGGTTGTTTGACTGAGACTACAGTACGGGGAATTACAGAAGATACTGTATGTGTTCTAACATCACAATGAACCTAATATGCACAGACGTGCAATAACACACGTGCATACACGTGCTCGTGAATACGTACACGCACACAATGTCACACGCATGAAAGACACACACATTGATGTGCACACCATATCGTGTACATCACATATTCAAACGCCACACATACACTAACGCACACACGACACACACACACAAGACACACACACGACACACACACGACACACACACACGACACATACACACAAGACACACACACACGACACGCACACACAACACAAGACACACACGTCACACACTAACGCACACACACGACACACACACAAGACGCACACATCAACCAAATGCATTGCATTTACAGTGAACATTATTAGATGTTGATGATGGTGCTGCTGCTGCTGCTGCGTTGGCAGTGATGCAAAAGCACAAATAGCAACAAACCCAACACATTGGGGCCAATAAACTCTCTCATTTATTTTTTGATTTAAAGCTTTCGTGACTGCAGGGATTCATATTCTTGGTTCTTTCGGTAAAGTCACGTAGAAGGAAATCAATAAAAAAATAGTGTTATATTTGTATTATTTTATTATACTCTCATTTATGTTCTCTGAAAAAGGGCCATCCCCCAAAACGTCGCCTATTACACATTTTTCCCCCTTCAGGGCCACGGTGTTGACATTACAACAGAGATGACAGTACACACAGTATATACTGCATGTATGTGACAGCGTGTTTTAGACATTGCAGATATATAAATGTGCGTGTTATACAATTGTGAACGCTATCGTCTATAGAATGTGGGAAATAGACAGTACACAATATAACATGTAAATACTGTACCTCAATTAGTTACGCCATTAGTGTTTCAAGCAAAGGCAATGCATGCACTATACACTTGATCTAAGTCTAATGAAGGGCCTTTGCCCGAAACGTCGCCTATTAAATGTATTTGTATTGTTATTTGAAGGCCACACACGATGTTTGCGTGTAACGTTGTTACAGGGCCTGTATTCGTGTTGTTGGTGTGCTACTGCCAGCAGAAATCGGTATAAATATCATCACGTTTGATTAGATATCCATGTTCACAGACAACAAACGTGTTTGATAATTGGTGGATATTTCCCTAAGATTGTTTCCCGATACTGTACACGAGATATTAAACATTTAAACATCACGCGTACATTAGTAACACACATCCCTCGTGGTTTATCACGCGATTCGTGCAATGTCTACGACACGAATACTAAATATCGTTAACTAAATAGAGTTACATTCGCAAGGTCATTTTTGCATCGGAAAAATTGTATTTGTACCAACCGAGCGACGTTATCGATTATTATAATAATCCGTGCGTTTAGATCGGCTAATTTAACATCATCGCATCGAACTAAAAACCCAATTATCCACGCCAACCCGTGTCTCCGACGAATCTACATCATTGTCAACGTTACAAATTGTAAATAAAACACTTTATAATGACACAAATATGCTGTGCGATCATGTAAAGAAGGCGTCTGCCGCGGCTTGTGTGGGCCACCATCACAGCGAGCCGCGCACGATTTCACGAATTTCGTCTTCACAATCGTCAACTCATTCGTACCGCTGCAGTGTTGCCTCCTTCACGTGATTATCTTTATTGTGTAATGATTAAAAACAAACTAGACAATAATACACGTCGTTGTGGTGCGCACACACACGCGCGCTCCACTCACCCATTGCTTGCAGGCGTGGTGTGTTGATGTCTTGTGGCTGGATTAGTGTCTCTAAATAATCTCTCTTCTCTCTCTGTACTGTGGAGGTAACTACAATAATCTCTCTCTCTGTACTGTGGAGGTAACTACAATAATCTCTCTCTCTGTACTGTGGAGGTAACTACAACAGCGACAGGATGAGATCTGACTGGCTGAGTGTCTGACGAGACGAACACTGCGCCAGGTCACCAGCGGGCTGGCGAGATGACCGGCGTCGCGGGCTGCCGGAATGAATGAGCGGCTTGGCAGGCGGGCTGGTGAAGATAACTGGCGAAGATAACTGGCGAAGATAACTAGCTAAGATAACTGGTGAAGATAACTGGTGAAGATAACTAAGATAACTGGTGAAAATAACTAGTGAAGATAACTGGTGAAGATAACTGGTGACGATAACTAGCTAAGATAACTGGCTGGTGAAGATAACTGGCGAAGATAACTAGTGAAGATAACTGGTGAAGATAACTAAGATAACTGGTGAAGATAACTGGTGAAGATAACTAAGATAACTGGTGAAGATAACTGGTGAAGATAACTAAGATAACTGGTGAAGATAACTGGTGAAGATAACTAAGATAACTGGTGAAGATAACTGGTGAAGATAACTGGTGAAGATAACTAAGATAACTGGTGAAGATAACTGGTGAAGATAACTAAGATAACTGGTGAAGATAACTGGTGAAGATAACTGGTGAAGATAACTAAGATAACTGGTGAAGATAACTGGTGAAGATAACTGGTGACGATAACTAGCTAAGATAACTGGCTGGTGAAGATAACTGGCGAAGATAACTAGTGAAGATAACTGGTGAAGATAACTGGTGAAGATAACTAAGATAACTGGTGAAAATAACTAGTGAAGATAACTGAGATAACTGGTGAAGATAACTGGTGAAGATAACTGACTAAGATAACTGACTGGCTAAGATAACTGGCTGGCTAAGATAACTGGCTAAGATAACTGGTGAAGATAACTAAGATAACTGACTGGCTAAGATAACTGGCTGGCTAAGATAACTGGCTAAGATAACTGGTGAAGATAACTAAGATAACTGACTGGCTAAGATAACTGGCTGGCTAAGATAACTGGCTAAGATAACTAAGATAACTGGTGAAGATAACTAAGATAACTGACTGGCTAAGATAACTGGCTGGCTAAGATAACTGGCTAAGATAACTGGCTAAGATAACCGACTGGCTAAGATAACTGGCTGGTGAAAATAACTGGCTGTGTAAGATAACTAAGATAACTGGCTAAGATAACCGATTGGTGAAGATAACTGACTAAGATAACTGGCTGACTAAGATAACTGGCTAAGATAACTAGTGAAGATAACTGGCTAAGATAACTAGTGAAGATAACTGACTAAGATAACTGGCTGACTAAGATAACTGGCTAAGATAACTAGTGAAGATAACTGGCTAAGATAACTGGCTGGTTCCCCAGCTGCCTGACTACAGCTGACTTGACCGGCTGGCCGAATTAACTGACCGGGGGATTCAACTATCCAGCTCACCCCACCACCTGGGCTGGCTCACCTCACCACCTGGGCTGGCTCACCCCACTACCTGGGCTGGCTCACCTCACCACCTGGGCTGGCTCACCCCACCACCTGGGCTGGCTCACCTCACCACCTGGGCTGGCTCACCCCACTACCTGGGCTGGCTCACCTCACCACCTGGGCTGGCTCACCCCACCACCTGGGCTGGCTCACCCCACCACCTGGGCTGGCTCACCCACCACCTGGGCTGGCTCACCCCACTACCTGGGCTTGCTCACCCCACTACCTGGGCTGGCTCACCCCACTACCTGGACTGGCTCACCCCACTACCTGGGCTGGCTCACCCACCACCTGGGCTGGCTCACCTCACCACCTGGGCTGGCTCACTCCACTACCTGGGCTGGCTCACCCCACTACCTAGGCTGGCTCACCCCACTACCTGGGCTGGCTCACCCCACTACCTGGGCTGGCTCACCCACTACCTGGGCTGGCTCACCCCACTACCTGGGCTGGCTCACCCCACCACCTCGGCTGGCTCACCCCACCACCTGGGCTGGCTCACCCCACTACCTGGGCTGGCTCACCCCACCACCTGGACTGGCTCACCCCACCACCTGGGCTGGCTCACCCACCACCTGGGCTGGCTCACCCCACCACCTGGGCTGGCTCACCCACTACCTGGGCTGGCTCACCCACTACCTGGGCTGGCTCACCCCACTACCTGGGCTGGCTCACTCCACCACCTGGGCTGGCTCACTGCACCACCTGGACTGGCTCACCTCACCACCTGGACTGGCTCACCTCACCACCTGGACTGGCTCACCCCACTACCTGGGCTGGCTCACCCACTACCTGGGCTGGCTCACCGCACCACCTGGGCTGGCTCACCCCACTACCTGGGCTGGCTCACCTGACCGACCGGTGCGGTTCGGTGTGGCCTGGCTCTATTCGCTCCGTGCGGTGATGTTGATCGCAACAACAACAGCAGCAATAACAACAGCAGCAACAACAGCAGCAATAACAACAGCAATAACAACAGCAGCAACAACAGCAGCAATAACAACAGCAGCAACAACAGCAGCAACAACAACAGCAGCAACAACAACTACAAAGACGCCAGCCACCCCCTCGTTCAATGCGGAGCCAATGACATCACCCTCCCAGGGCTTGTTGCACTTGAAAAGCGTGGTGAGTGGGTGGGTGGGGGAAGAGGGAGATAGAGATAAAGGCAAAGATCCCCCGTGTAGCCTGCCCCAGGCTGTAGGGGCAAGGGCTGTTGGCAAGCACCTTTATCCAAAGACACCAAGAGGGCAAAGCACGCGTGGCGATGTGTTTGTTTTGTTTGACACACCGCACCGAGGTGTGCTCATTTGAGGCCGAGTCGACTTAGGGAGGGGAGGCCCCGGGACCGGTTCTGATAATCACCGGAAGTAGAACCTCGCTAACCGCTGCGCCACCGCTCCCCCTGACACTGCTACTGCACGTGACAACACAAACACAACACAACAAACTACACACGTTTGCATGTAGCCACAATCACACCGCTACACACATACACATACAATAACAACAATAATAATAGACAACACTTGCCAGTTAATATCTGCGAGTAATTCGCTTTGTGGAATGTAATTATTATTTTAAAAAAATTGTACTTGCGAAAAATCCCAGAGTAAATATAGCCAAACGATGACGTGTCGTCTCCTGGGAACGACGGTAGGATAAGAGGTAGTAGGATAATCTACGGGAGTGCCTGGCCGCGTGAATGGGTAAGAGCTAGGCAGAGGTGGAACCCAATCAACGTGGAGCGTTGAAGTAACGTTGGCCCGACGTTTGTCCAACGGTTCCAACCGCGTGCCAAACGGAGGATCAACGTTGCATGTTTAGTAAGTGGGTTGGGAAGGTAAGTAGGAAGGCATGCAAATAGGTAGGTAAGCAGATGAGTCGTAAACTAAAACTATTTTGTATTTTACCAGCTAAGGGCCACTGTAGCTCTTATTCAGAAGTAACCTGGCCACAAGTGATGGCTCAACTCAGTGGCTTATCATCACCACGTGGACATTTATATAGCAGCCAAATACTCTAAACTCGTGTTTATAAGTGTGGAGGGAAAAACCCAGAGGACCCGGAGAAAAATCCACGCGACCACGGGGAGAGAGACACGCAGACTTCAAATATACAGTAGCAGCAGGCGTCAGGGTCGGGCTCGAACCCACGACCTCCTGTGTACCAGGCGAGGTAGTCAACATCTCTGAGACACCGTGGTGCCCGAGGTATGGGAGCATTGAACGGCAAGGCGATGATTCCACCCGGCAAGCGATGTGGTGGCAGTGCAGTTCGCGTGCCCTCGATTCACATTCGGAAGGTCGACAAATCTCATCACCGCTGCTGCTCTGTGGGAAGTCATCAGAATCTCCGGTGCCCTTCCTGCATGGACTGAGCGCTGTTTTTTTTTTAATTTCAACAGCACGATCAGGTCCACTCATGTAAATGAAAAACACAAGCGACCAGCAACGAACGGCACTCACACAGAGATACAACTCACCTCCCAGAATTCTCGAATGCAGTATTGTGCCTGTATAATAGAATATATTCTACAATGATATTCTATACACAAATACACAGAATTTCGCCCAATTAACCTCATCCATATTGAGACAGAAGAGAGAGAGGAGAGATTGACTGGATTCACGGTGGCAGTTGCCGTGCAACGAACTTTCACGTCCTGCGCCCGAATACACCGGCAACCCCTCGCTAAACGCGGTAGTGGATACGTTCCTAAAAAGTGCCGTGTTATAACGGGCGCGTTCCGTGTTATAACGGGCGCGTTCCGTGTTATAATGGGCGTGTTCCGTGTTATAACGGGGGCGTTCCGTGTTATAACGAGAGCGTTCCGTGTTATAACGAGAGCGTCCCGTGTTATAACGGGGGCATTCCGTGTTATAAAGGGCGCATTCCGTGTTATAACGGGGGCGTTCCGTGCTATAAAGGGCGCGTTCCGTGTTATAACGGGGGCGTTCCGTGCTATAAAGGGCACGTTCCGTGTTATAACGGGGGCGTTCCGTGTTATAACGGGTGCGTTTCGTGTTATAAAGGGCGCGTTCCGTGTTATAACAGGAGCGCGTTCCGCCTTGTTTGTCAAAACTACAACTCAGACGCCGAGAGCCAGTGACCTTCACGTGTGAAATTCTGTCTGCAGCCACGTGGGAGTTGGTAGAAGGTCTCCTGCCACGCTTTGCACTGCGCCTGAATAATTTATGATCCACTCTGACAATGTAAGATTTAACGAAGCAAGCTGGGCAATACGAGATGTTAAGCGAGTATGTTGGGGTGAGTGAGTGAGTGGGGGGTTCGTGAGAATAGTTTTTTTAACGTGCGTAAAAATGTAAATGCTTACACGTTTAAAAATATAAACATTTACTGGTTACAAATTTACGACAAAAATACAATGCGTTTTAAAACAACACACACACACACAACCGACGCGTAAAGAACACGTTTTGTGATGTTCCATTTAAAACCGCAGCAAGAAGTGCACTTGGGACCTTTTGTCGGAGGTGACGATCAAAATAAATTCGAGCAAACGTGACCCACCAACAGCAGCTGCGTTGCAGTGATAGGCAACTGTGGTGGACTGGGATAATCCACATTGCGACTCATCATTATTGCAGTGCAAATGATGATGCTGCAAATACCCAACAGAACTATTACATTGTTTTTACATTCACAATATAGCCACAGTATAATATATACATCTTTCAACACTTGTATAGCTTTCGATTTAAAGCTTTCGTGACTGCAGGGATTCATCTTCTTGGTTCTTTCGGTAAAGTCATGGAGAATGTGGAAATTTTTAATTATTATTTATTAATTATTATATAATGTTTTATTTTATTATTTCCATTCTACGTGACTTTACCGAAAGAACCAAGAAGATGACTTGTATAGCTTTCAACACTTTATTATTGTTATGACATTGCATGGTTTATCCTTCAGTTGTATTCGCCGATGCGGTGTGTGGATCGCGACACGTCGGCTGACACGGGGATACAGCGGCACGGTGGGGAGGAGGAGGAGGAACAGGATGTGCACACGTGTGTCCACATCGCCCTCGAGTCTCAAGTGTCCCCTGGAGCTCCTCCACGCCCTTCTGGGGAACATACCTCTCCTGACACTCAAACAAGCAACCTTGAGCCAATGTTGAGACAACGTTGGTGACGTGGTTGGAACCGTTGCACCAACGTCGCCCCAACGTTCCATGTTGACTGGGTCCCAAACTCCCAACGCGCCCCACGCAACTTCCTCGCCACGCGATTCAGCTGCTGTTCGGTGTGACACGAAACGCGAGCCCGTGGTCCTGTGTGTGTGGTGGACACGCTGGCTTTCCCTGCCCCTTGTGTTAGAAGTCCAGGGAAGCGTGTTGCACTGACGATGTGTTTCTGGCAGGATGAAGATGGTTCAGTTTGCGTTTGTGTGCGTCTGGGTGATTTGTTTATACCTTTCTTGGACTCTGCACGACTATCGTGTGTTTTTGTACCGCTTGTTCTTGTGAAGTTCCTATCTGTCCCGACTGGACATGTGAAAACGAGCTTTGTAGCTCATCGGATTCCTCCAGTATATCCACAATGTTCTGAATCTATTTCTATACACAGCGCAAGACCACTTCGTAATAGTGTATACGGTTACAAGTGTTCATGCATCGCTCGGAGAATCTTTATCGCGGAGGCAACATAAGTTCCGAAAAGATAATCCTTTGCAAACCATTAAAAAAAATATATATTCTCCACGACGACACTAAAGATTGTCCATTGAGTTATGTATTACTATATAATTTCACGCCAAACCGTGAAGGGTTTCCTTGCCGTCCGTGCGATTGTCCAGCTCACCGGTATTGATTGCGGCGACTCTGCTGATGAGACACTGTGCGTCGAAACCAGACCACCGTTGCTGGTCTTGAATCAATGCCGCTGACGTTCTGCACCCCGCGGGAGGCCTTGCGGCTGACGTGTGTCCGTGTAAGAAATACTTTTGCTGTTTTAGCGTGAAGACACGCGGAGGGTACACGTTCTGCTTGTGATGTTACGTCAACGAAACCTCAGTATGCGTCGCGTTGCTATTAAGCGACTAGGAAACCGGGCGAATTGATTTAAGGCTTTGCCAAAAACCTTGAGACAAAAAAACCAGTGGTAAAAATAGTTGCAAAACCAGCACTAAAAGGTTGTGAATGAAGGTGCCTTCTATTCCTCCCCTCCCGCGAAATTTCCGCGAATTCCTCACATTAGTTTAACACGTGAAAGGCTTTCGCGATCAATATCCATAATACAGGTTTTTTGGGGTTAGATCGCGTAAATATATACATGTGTCGTTAAAACCCGCCACCACCCGACAGCCAATCAGTAAGATTTGTCACGTACTAGTACAGCACACCGGTTTGTTGGAGGGCAAATCCACGACAGATTTACAATCAGAGTCCTCACATTAGTTGAACAAATTATTTGGTGACAGAGACTGCGCATTGGCGGTGGCGCACACGCACGGAGAACGACATCTTCCACCTCTCGTGTCTCGGCGTGCGCCGTCCGTAGACAGACAAGTGTCAGGAGTTTAACACGTAGGCTTTCGCGACCAATGTTATTCATAATCAACGATTTTTGGGTTTAGATCGCGTTCTAAACCCAAAAATCGTTGATTATGAAGTGTCAGGAGGTTGATTGCCGAGTGGTTGACGTTGCCGCACTTGGTCCATGCTCTGTCCACCTCCGTGCTCTTTGTCTGTGGTGTTCCTGTGCCTCTTGAATGATGGTGACAGTCCTGTAATTTAAGGTGTTTGTGTGGCGGGTCAAAATGTCACGCGTTTCGAGATGCAGTTTGCATGGATGACGCTCAATAAAATAATTAACGTATTATTAAAATGATAACAATGAGAAACTGCACTACATTCGTCAATGACACTGTGGGGATTTAAAAGTAAAAACAAACACAGAGGCGACGTTTCGTGCAATGGACCTTGTCGTGATGTCCAATGATTGGTCAGGGCCATCGCCCGAAACGTCAGGCGACAATATATTTTTTATTTCCTTTTAAAAGCCTCTGGTGTTTGTTGCTGAATGTCGTAAACTTCCGTGCATTGCAGTCGATGCAATATAAATGTCGACGCGCTGCTATTTGTAAACCGCGAGGAAATAAAGCCACTTAAATCGGGAAAACAAAGTGTACGTGATAAACGGCCTTTATTATGAGTACGTTGTCAATATAGTGAACTTAAAAATATATATTGTATCAAACAAAACGCCGCGTCTTATTATTTCGATATGAATAACAATCGGTACACGTTCAAAACATTCCATGCTGCCGCGCAGAAAAATGTACGAAATTGAATGTTTTAATTTCACAACAAACACACTCCCCTTCCAGGATCGGACGACGCGTCAGTCAAAGCGCACTTCATCAGTATGGGTTATAAAACAAAACAGTAGCTTTCCATTTTAAATACGGAGTTACACGTACAAAAACGATTGTACAGTGGCGTTTGATTTGCAACGTTGCGAATTCAGTTAAATATTAGTGAAATCGGTGTTCCAGTTTTTTGATTGAAATACATTGTGTACAAACGCACTGCTTCGGGAACACGAAAAGCGCGTCGCATTTCTATGAACACGCGTTAAGTTTTAGATTGCCATGAGTGTTTACGAGTGGATGATTAGCACGCAACTCACGATCTAGGGCCACAAGTTGAAAACCTGCTCACCTCACAGCCTCATCGTCCCTCCGGGGTGGATTTAAATGAGCACCACGTTGCGGGAAGTCATCAACAACAACAACAACAACACCCACAGAGCGACCTGACCCCCCTCTGCCATGAGAATGTGGAATTGCCTACCGATGGGCTCTGTCAGGGCCACCAAAGGACAGCAGCAAAGCATACAGCTCGTTCGATCTTCGTCACTTTGATTATTTCATGCTGGAGTCACCATTCAAGGTGAATGTACGGAAGAGTTGTCAAGTTTAATTTCACAAACTCTGTACGTTGCACATTTCAAAACGGCAAAGGTGCAGCCCTGCAACCGTTTTGCTTGCGCCACTGCTGAAGGAGATGCCTCCAGCGGAGAGGAAGCTCTCGAGAGCCCCGCTAGAGGGTTACTTGGCCTACTCTTCCGCGCTGGCCGGACGTCTTGGCAGAGGTAGGAATACCCACGCGTCACCGTGCCGCGCACGCAACCCGTTCATACCGCCGAGTTGACAGAGCCGATGGTGTCGGATTTGAGAAACTCGCCGCCGTCGTTTCAACCGCCGTGCCGAGAGATCGAATAGGAACCGGCGACCTCCGGATCGCAAGTCCGGCGCGTCACCTTTGACGCCACGGCAGCGTTGAGCATTCAAATGAAACGTAACACACACACACGTCAATAATAACTTAAGTTTCACAATGAGCTTTCATCACCAGAGAAAATACGACTTTGGCTCTATTGAAATAAAAACGTTGTTTCCCCACGGATAGACACCACGAGGGGAGGGAGCTATAGTCATCACATTGAACGGAGAAGGAAGAGAGCGGACAAGGGACGGGACGGGATAAGGATTAAGTCAAGCGGGAAAAAGCGAGCAGACGATACCAACGAGGAGGTCATGCCGCAGAGGAGACGAAAGAGAAATCAATTCTTGAATTGCGGCGCCCCAATCGTGACGCTGGGATAAAGCACGGGGCCGCATCCTTCCAAGTACTGGTAACGTCATCGTCATCGCAGATTCGATATCACAACCGCCACCGTCATCAAGCATTACCACCCTTACTGTAACAATATCATCGTTATCACTACCACCACCACCAACACAAGAAAAATAATTTTCACCATCACCACCTTCATCATCACCACGACCACAAAAATCTGCATCACAATCACCGTCATCCTCCTCGGGTGTCAAATTTGAATAAACCACCACCACAATATAATTTTCACCACCACCCCCCATCATCATCATCCCTCTTGCGTGGTGAACTTGAGTATGTAACCAGACAAAGATCCCCCGTATAGCCTTAACAGATTGTTGGGGCAAGTGCTGTTAGCGAGCACCTATGAAGGCCGGCATGGCACACGAGGGGGTGGGTGGCCAGCACCACGCCCGGCCGCTTTTGTCTCCCCTGTGGCGATGTTTACGCATTGCACCAGGTACTCATTTGAAGCTGAGTCGACCTAGGAAAGGCCCGGGACCAGTTCAGAGAATCGTTCCTGGTGTTCGCCGTGAGCGGAAATCGAACCCGGGTTTCCAGGTTCGTAGCGCAGTGCGCTAATTGCTACACTACCGCTCCACAAACCACCACCAGTATCAACACTATTACCACCACCACCACCAGCAAAATCATCAATATCATCATCCCTCTGGGGTGGTTAAATTGAGTACACCATCACCACCACCTCTCAAGGGATGATTACTGTGACCAGCGAGGCTGCACCACTTCAGCATGCAAGCCTAACAGAAGCCCTTGACTGTGTTGTTAATGACATTCCGTGTCCCGCGACGGGAATGTGGAATTGCCACCATGGGATTAGATCTGACCCGTTAAGACGAGCGCCCACCGCCCAAAGCCGACAGCCACTGGAGCGTGGCACGTCATCGAGACAAAACTGAGTTTAACACGTAGTAGTAGTAGTCGTCGGGTATTTCACGGCCAATATTACGCATGAGGTTTTTGGGTTGGATCGCGTGAATATAAATGTGTCATTAAACCCGCCCACCACCCGACATAGACAATTAACTAAGGTTTAGTAGGTTAGTAAGTAACCCACACTTGGATTTACTCTCCAACACACCCGGTGTGCTGTACTAGCAACGAATTGACACATTTTGTTCACGTGACAAACCTTACTAATTGGCTGTGTCGGGTGGTGGTGAGTTTAAAGACACAACTTTGATGAACAATCTATTGTTGTATAATTACACCCCCCCTGCTCTCCGCACCCGATTGGATGAGTGATGACGTGACGTTGCTCTATTAAAGACCGCAAGCTCGTGGATGGCTTCACGATTCTGGCAAATCGCCCGATGATGCTGGTTGTGATTACCAGCGAAACGTCGTACTACTCAAATTGTAAATGTTGTGGATTTACTCTCCAACACGCCGCTGGGTTGAAGTAGTAAACTAATTGGCGCGTTGTTGTTAACATGACTAACCTTACTGGCTGCGTCGCGTGGTGGAGAGTTACGACAAATTCATACTTACAGCGATCTAACACAAAAACGTTCATAATGGACACGTTTACATTTACGTGATCTAACTTCTACTATGAAAAAAATAAGCACAGCAACGAGAGCCACCACCACCATACAAACAGCAATGGCAAAATCCAGCACCACGGGAACCTGTGGGTGCTCATTTTCTCAAACAGTTTTTGTCACCCGGCGGGCCCGTGCAGCAAACGCTGCCCACGGAACACCCCTCCAACAGTGCAGTGCCACCCGCGAGGAAACCAAGCTAAACTATTTAAAAACAAAAAAAAGCCCCCACTGAGCTGCTACGTGGATCTTTTTTCAGAAGCGACCTGGCAAAGGAGAGCTCAACGAAGTGGCATCATCATCCACGTGGAAATGCATAGCCGCAGCAGCAGCAGCCCAATACTCTCAAAGCATCAATGTTGATTCCTAACTTTGGAGGGGAAAAACCCGGAGAAAAATCCACGCGAAACAATCGCGGATGGGCCCTTGGTCTAAGATGTATTTGCTCGATAAGCCCCCCCCCCACCCTCCTCCTGTCGGAGCTAACCAATCGGGAGAGCAGGCGGCACATTTGGCACACGTGATTGGCTGGTTAGTTCCTTGTGTTGCGGGGCACGCACGCACGCACGCACACACGCACGCACGCACGCACGGACACATTCACGCACGCACGCACACACGCACGCACACACGCACACACGCACGCACAGACCCACGTGTAGGCATGGCACAGGAGCGACGTGACCAGTACTGGACCGAACACCTGACCACGTTTGTCTCTCCCCCGATAAGTGACGTCTACACCGGGGGCACACGAGCGACACGATTAAGGCCGAGTCGGACCCTGGTGTCTTCCAGTGAGGCCCGCGCATCCGTGGCTTGGGTCTGGCTTGGTTCTGGCTTGGCACGGCAAACGGCGAGTGGGGAAAAACAAACACCTGAACCACGACGGTCCTCTTCTGGCTCGGCTTTGATGTGCCCGTGGAAAACGGCGGTTTGTGAGTCCCCAAGAGAGAAAAACAGATGACGATGCCTTTCAGAAGTCATCATTTCTTTTTACCATTTCATTGTCCTCGAGACGGAGAGGCGTGTCTTAAAGTTTGCCAAGTTACTTGCACAAGATGTTACGTGACGTGCCATGCGGACTTCACTTGGCGTGCTTGGTCTGTCTGTGTTCCAGGATAGCGGTCCATATTCGGCACAGGGTTCCACCTCTGTAAAGCGGACATAATGGATTACTGGAAGAGATCTGAGAAAAACATGTATTATTATTTTTGTCCGTGGGTACGATGGAAGGATACAAACCGAATGAATAACAGTTTACTCTCAATTATCAGTGGGGGCAGATTGAACCGATTGCGGATTAGATGTGCTGAATAAATGAAAAGATAAAGCGTGTTTACATCTGTGCCGGTTCCACTATGAGCTACTCCTCCATCATCGAGGGTCAGGCCTCAGGTCGACTTACGAATGAGTTAGGTTCCAGGTCTGTTCGCAAGTCGATTCGTTCCCAATTCCAACTCAACTCCTGTCGATTCCAAACATGTTGTGCGGCATGTACACTAAACACGGGTAATGGATTTAAATGTTGTATAATCTTCTGTAGATGCCACTGGTTCTTCACGTCCTGCAGATGTAGATGCCACCTCCGCCATCTATTGCGTGGCGGTTGAACTTACGACTCTCGGTCTGAACAGGTAACCGGACATACGGACAGATTTGTTCGTATCTCTAAAAGTTCGTAAGTAGAATGTTCGCAAGTGGAAGACTCCCTGTACTTCACCGCCATGCTACGTCGGGATATATTGATCTATTATTATTATTATTATATTGTTCGAAGCGAAAGCTTAGTTGTTTTTGCCAAGCTGGTCCATCCATACTATCGGTGGGACCCTACCCACCGATAGCTAATGCTGCTCAGGCATTCACCACCCTTCCACAACCCCCACCACCACCACTCAAACCAGCCCAAGCCATTGCCCGGAGGAAGAGGTGGGGCACAATCAGGAAGAGGTGTGGCCTAACCAGGAAGAAGCGTGGCCAAATGAGTTAGGGGTGGGGTCTAAAAAGGAAAGGGTGGGGCCGAAAGAGGTTAAACTCCCAGTCGATTCCAGGCAATCGAAGCGTAAAACAAAGACGTGCAGTAGGCAGCACCAACACCTTTAGTGCCACAGACGTTGCCGCAAGCCAACTTGTTAAGATTTAACATCCTTATTTACGTGCTTTTTGCATCGCTCTTGCTGTTTGTATGTATGTAGAACTTCTTTAGCACCGTACATTATACCCGGTCCACTGCTCCACCAAAAAATCTCGGACAACTGAAAGTCGGCTACTCTACTACGCAAGAGGCAAAGGCGCAGCCCTGCAATTGCCTGCTCACGCCAAAGCTGGCAGAAGGCACCTTCACTCGAGGAATGAGAGAACTTGCCTTAACTGGAGAGCTTTGAGGTCCTCTCTGCTCACAAAGCCCAAAATGTCCTGCAGTGAGTAATCCTCCTCTACAAACTGTAAACAACACAACACACACAAAGCGCACTATTGTTGATGCTGCTGCGTTGACAAGCACAATTAACATGAATACACAATTGTCGATAAAGCTGTTGTTGCAAATGCGATTTGTAACTTTGAACCTAACCCGTGTAATCGATAACACAATTTTAATGTGCAATTTCATTGAGGGACTGTGTTGTTGTTGTTGTCTTGGTGTAGTCTCGGACTGTTGTTGTTCTTTTGCTGCCTTGCTGGCCTTCATAGATGCTGCTACTCGCTAAAAGCACTTGCCCCAACAGTCTGTTAAGGCTATACGGGGGGTCTTTTTCTGTGTGCGTTAGTGGAGTGGTTAGCGCGCCGAACTATGAACCCAGTGACCCGAGTTCAATTCCCACTCACGGGCAACACCAGTGACGATTATTTGAACCGGTCCCGGGCCTCCCCTAGGTCGACTCAGCCACAAACCAGTACCTGGTGCGGTGTGTAAACATCGCCACTAGGGAGACAAAGGCGGCCGAGCGTGGTGCTGGCCACCCACCCCCTCGTGTACCGTGCCGGCCTTCACAGGTGCTCACGAACGACACTTGCCCCAACAGTCTGTTAAGGCTGTGTGTGTGTGTGCGGTAAAGCAGCCTCCTCACCTTATCGATGGCACTTTGGGAGACACCCTGATCCCTGAGCCAGCTGACCAGCTCCGGGTCTTCTGATTGGCCGTGATTGGTGACGTAATAACGTGGCCGATCGTTTGGGATGTCTGTGGAGGGTAATACAGCGCGTGTAGCCACAATCAACTGTTGGGGCAAGTTGCCGTTAGTCGCGAGTAGCGCCGACGAAGGCCGGCGCGGCAACACGAGGCGATGCCCAAGCAGGTCGGCTACTCCATTACAAAGAGGCAAAGGTGCAGCCCTGCAATTTCCTGCTCACGCCAATGCTGGCAGCGAGCGCATCCCCACTGGAGGAATGAGAGAATTTGCCTTGGGAGATGTGTATAGATCTACACAAGTGGTACGGACCGTCCACTTATTTATCGTCACGTACGCACGAGGGCGTTGTTAAACTGCGCGATTCTCGTTGCGAGCGCACCGGTTGGAATGCGCGACGTTTTATGAACCGCCGCGCCGGGAGATGCAGTGGAACCGGCGGCCTCCGCATCGCGAGGCCACGTCCCGCTCACCGCTAATCCACCGCTGTGGCAGCTCCCTCCGGTTCTCAATTAAGAAGCAAAACATTTAACTTTTATTCCTAAGAGACATTTACATATACGCACGGCAAAACCGGTAACCGTTGTAACCAATTTTTGTGCTTACCGGCAACCCAAAACAACATGATTTTAACAATAATACAACACTAACAACGCCAACACACGAACCACTGCATTCCTGCTCCTTGATCCACCAATCACACCGCAGCAGCAATCGGCGCGCGCGATTGGCCGGTCCCAGTAACGCCGCTCACCGATTGGCTTGCTGGTCGTACGGAGCATCTCGATGTCGGTGGACCTCTGCTGGATGGAGAGCTGCAGCAGCGTCTGGTACTCGCGCTCCTTGTCGATGAGCTCCTCCAGCAACCTGCACGCAACCCGAGCGTCACCAACCCGGACGTCACGACCGGCCATCACCAACCGGACATCACCATTCCGCTGCGCCTCACAGACCCGGTGTCTCCTCCTCCTCGCCTCTGCTCTCACACCTCGCCACGGTGGCGGCAGCAGCATTAACCCATCCCTCTGAGCAGCGGCATTAACCCATCCCTCTGAGCAGCGGCGCGGCCGGTGTAAGCACCTCCCTCGATCTGCCCCCCCCCCCCCAAATCTCGGACAGTGGTCGCTACTGCTGCCTGAAATTCCGCCTGCAAATCCACCTGGAATTCCAGCAGCAGCAGCGAGTCATCTTCCACCGTCAAGAAGCGCCGAGCGACAAGCAGAAAAGAGCGCCACCGCTCAGCAGCGTCGCCCGCAGTGCCGAGTATTTCACGTTGATCCATCATCTTCTCGGTTAATGCGCAAACGGTGTTTACCGGGGTGACCACCGGGATCTACCTGCCAATCAATAACGGGGCGACCATCGTCACCCCTCACCGATGGCATCGCTTCTCACCTGCTGTTCTCAATCTTGAGCCGTCCCAGCTGCAAACTCAGCACCTGGCTCTGCCGCAAAGCGTCGTGGGACAGCGTGGAGCTCAGGGTGCTCACGCCCGAGGTCACATGACCTTCATCGGCGGCCTCGGGGGGTGGCAGCAGCAGCTGGATTCCGTGGTGACAGCCGCCGCCCCCCTCGCCGTTCTCGACGCGCTGCCCTCTCCCGACGACGACGCCGCCGCGGTGGCGGTCGTCCTCCTCGTCGTCGTCGTCATCGTCCACCTCTCCGTCGGTGGCTGCGACGCCGGCGCGGCCGGGCTTGCCGCGGCGTTCCCGCTCGTCCTCGACCACCGGGCCGAAGTGCGACTGAAGTTCTGACGGCGAAGAAGAGCGAGGTAAACCGCGCGCACGGAGAACCCCGCAGCAGCGAGGGCGGGCCCACGCGGGACACCGCTCGCCCACGACGGAGCCAAGCGCCGCTCTGCTGACGTGGTTCCGCCGTTGGGTTGGGAAAACTGCGCCCGACGTTTCGCTACGCGTGTTGGGAGCGGCGGTGTAGCGGTCAGCGCGCTGCGCTACGAACCCGGCAAACCCGAGTTCGATTCCCGCTCACGGCCAACACCGGTGAGTCCCCTAGGTCGACTCAGCCTAAAGCGGGTACCCTGGTGCGGTGTGTAGTAAACGTCGCCACTGGGGAGACGAAGGCCGTCGGGCGTGGTGCTGGCCACCCAGCCCCTCGCGTGCCGCAGTGGCGGCCGCCATAGGCGCTACTACTCGCCAACAGCACTTGCCTCGACAGTTTGTAAAGGCGACACGGGGGGGGAGGTTGTTTGTGTGAGCGAGTGGAGTGGCATCACACCTGGTATGAGGGTGGTGATTGCCACTTGCACTGCTCTCCGAATGAGGCTGTCCAGGGCAAACATCCAGTGGGGCTTGATGTTGTGGTTCTTCAGCACGCGGTTCACCTGCAGCGAACAACAACAATTACAATTTAAAACAACAATTACAATTTATAACAAACACAACAACTTGTAACCCGCCGTACAGTATCCGCTCCTCACTCTCGTAGAGAGAGAGGACGACTCCGAGAGAGAGACAGGACGACTCAGAGAGAAAGAGAGAAAGGACGACTCAACTAACGCACAAGAAGCAGCCCCTAGAGAAATGAGAGCATTGCCCCCTTCGCTCCAGTTTCCTCCACTGCGCGTATTCTTCATATGGAGCCCCCCCCCCTCATTAATAATCATGAGCGGGTGACGTCACTCCACATGGAGCAGACCCCACCCTCATTAATAATCCTGAGCAGGTGACGTCATTCCACATGGGGGGAGGGGGGGCACCTCCTCCCTCCTCCCTTATGATCCTCAGTAAAAAGCCAGAACCCCCACGTCACATCAACTCCACAACGCTACGGAGACCCAGCAGGAGGAAGGACGTCGTGATGAGCGAGGGAGATGACAACGCCGCCTGTGTTGGCTCGCACACGAATGGGTGCAGTGACCATGACGTCACTGCCTGCCTTCCGCTTGAATATTTCGGATTTACTGCAATACACCCGCCGCCCTTGGACGGGCTAGAGGCTGGTTACTCGCTATGTAACACGATTTTTGTTCCTGGGTAGTAAGTGTTATTTCCTAATTGTTATGCCTCAAAAGTATAGAAAATGCCTATTTTATTCCCCACAAACTTTGCTTTTGTGACCAGGACTTTACGTGATGGAATGACACAAATGCACACCACGTGGTCTCATTGACAATAGGTACATTTCAACATATCACTGTCCTGGTCACAAAAGGCAAAGTTTGTGGGGAATAATAATAGCCAATTTCTATACTTTTGAGGCATAACAATTAGGAAATAACACTTACTACCCAGGAACAAAATCGTGTTACAGAGCGAACACTCATCGGCAAAACGAGAAAATGACAAATTGAATGAACGAAGAGCTGCGCACGTCGGTTGAAATGGTACGTGCCACCCTTGAGTTTATTTTTGTTATTCAACAAAAAAACGATTGAATAAAAGTGATGAAAGTGCCCGAGCAAGGGGCGAGGGGGGGGGGGGCGAGGGGGGGGGGGAGATTTGGCGATGGTGCCAGCCGCCACTCACCGCGTCCTGGAATCCGAAGAGCACCACCTGCAGCTGGTTGATGGCGACGCTGTCAAAGTCCAGCTCCAGCTTGAGCGCCGAGATGGCGCTGGCCACGGCCTTGCGGTCGGGCGAGCGCATGTACTCGCGCAGGCACGCCATCAGCTGGGACACGTGCTGCGCCGACAGACGCGGCTCCTCCGCGCCCTGCGGCAGAAGCAGCAAGCGGTAAGCAGCGGCAACAGCAGCAGAAATAGAAGTAGCAGCAGCAGAACAACAGAAGTAGCAGCAGCAGCAACAGCAGCAGCAGAAGTAGCAACAGCAGCAACAGCAGCAGCAGAAGTAGTAGCATGGCAGCAGCAACAACATAATTAGCAGCAACAGCAGCAGTAGCAGCAGAAGGAGCAGCAGCAACAGTAGCAGCAGAAGGAGCAGCAGCAACAGCAGCAGCAGAAGTAGTAGCAGGAGCAGCAGCAACAGTAACAACAGAAGTAGCAGCAACAGCGGCAGCAGAATTAGCAGCGGTAGCATCAGTAGCAATAGCAGGAGCAGCAGGAGACACCGTCCACGAGTGAAACACGCCGTGCGCCGCCAATGAAAGACTGCGGCACACCCACCGCGAGCTGCTAGTGCGGCCGTCTTTGTCTCTCCCAGTGGTGCCGGTGGTACGTAGTGAGAGAGAGAGAGAATCACCAAGGGGGTGGTGGTGGACTTGGCGGGTGGTGGTGAGAGACCTGGCAGGTGAGTGAGTGAGTGGTAGCGAGCGATTGAGTGAGTGGTGGTGAGACATTTGGCGGGTGAGCGATTGAGTGAGTGATGGTGATAGACTTGGCGGGTGAGTGAGTGAGCGAGTGAGCGGTGGTGGTGGTGGTGGTGAGACTTGGCGGGTGAGCGAGTGAGTGAGTGGTAGTGAGCGATTGAGTGAGTGATGGTGATAGACTTGGCGGGTGAGTGAGTGAGCGAGTGAGTGGTGGTGGTGAGACTTGGTGGGTGAGCGATTGAGCGAGTGGTGGTGGTGGTGAGACTTGGTGGGTGAGCGATTGAGCGAGTGAGTGGTGGTGGTGAGACTTGGTGGGTGAGCGAGTGAGTGAGTGGTGGTGAGAGACTTGGCGGGTGAGCGATTGAGCGAGTGGTGGTGGTGGTGAGACTTGGCGGGTGAGCGAGCGAGTGGTGGTGGTGGTGGTGGTGGTGATGAGACTTGGCTGGCGCGTGGATGCGGGTGCGGCGCTCACCTGCGCGACGAGGATGTCCCGCAGGTTGGCCGCCACGAGCTCCTGCTCGGCGGTGAGGATGCGGTGCAGCGTCGCCCGCCGCTCGCTGTCCTTGCGCAGCAGGAAGAGGCCAGGGTCGCGCTCCTCGGGGGAGGGGGGCGCGCTGTGGTCGTACGACGGCGACGAATCCTCGGGCAGTCTGCGGGCGACCCGGCGGGGGGCGCCGGTGGGGGGAGGGGGGAAGGTGGAGGGGGGGGGCAAAGCGGCAATCGTCCACCGGCGTGCCTGCCGATAGCCACGTGCCCAGCGACCGAGCGCCCAGCGACTTGCTCGCCACGACGTTCGCTTCCAGTTGAAAGCAGCGGCAGGGGAGGGGAGCGCAGAGGAGGGTACAACAGCGGGGTGCGGGGCAAGGGAGGGCGGGGAAGGTAGGGGAGGAGAGGGCAGGGCAGGGGAGGGCAGGTGCTCACCCCAGGAAGAGCGGGCTGCGGGCGCGAGGGTTGTTGTTGTTGTTGTTGTTGAGGCGCCGCGGGGCCGCGAGGGGGTCGGTGCGCGACTCCGACTCGGACGAGGAGGAGCCCCTCTCGCTGCCCGTGCTGCTCGTGTCCACGTGGATCGCCACGGGCACCGACACGCTGCGGCCGTAATCTGGGGCGGCGAGACATCGCGACGACGGTGAAGCCCGCGCGACGCTTCGACAGAACCAGAATCTCGGTTCAAGACTGGAGGAGGAATCCGACCGGGCTCTGAAGCTCGACGTCCCGTCAGGGGGGGTGGGGGGGGGCGTGGGTCAAGCAGGTTACACCAACAAACGATGCCGAACAAAAAACACTAAAACCGACATGGAGTGAAAAACAGAGAAGAGAGAGCGGCAGGCGATGACGTAGGTCACCGGAGCGGGAAAGCGTGAAGACTCGTACCCCGATCGCCCGCGCCGCCGCCAGCGTTTGCCGGGGGGGCGAGCGGTTCCCCCGCCCTCCCCCACCCCCGCGCCTCACCTGGCCCCTGGCGGCTCTGCCCCTTGCTCCTGCGCGCCCTCCCACTGCCCCCCGGCGGCGAGCGAAGGAACGCGTCGGCCAGCAGCTCGGCGGCCGCGGCGCGGGAGTCCGGCTCCGGCTGGAAGCAGCGCAGGATGAAGGCTCGGGCATCCTCCGACATCGACTCGGGGATCTCCGGGTGGATCTTGAACATCCCGACCTGCGCGGGGGGGGGGGGGGGGGGGGGAGTCACGGACCGCCGCTCGTCGGCTGCCGCCACCAAAGACCGATGGCTTTTGGCCCGCGGGTGGACCGTCGAGGCTACGCGGGGGACCTTTGCTTCCGTGCGCAGCTACCGGCAGCCGCTGCGCGAGGAGATCGCTCCGCACGAGCACCGGAAGCGCCGCGACATCGTGCGCCGCCTGGGCCTGTCCCGCCAGCGGAGCACGTGGCCTCAAAGTGCACCCAAGCCTGGCACGAGCGCTGCGGCATGCACGTGCCCATCAGATGTGCGGGCGCAAGGATAACAAAAAGCAGCGGTGACGTCGCCGCTGCTTATTGGCGAATGGGGGATGCTGTGTGTGGTTGTTGTTTGTTGTTGTGGTTGTTGTTGTGGTGGTGGTGGTGGTGTCAGCCTATAACCTTGAACATAGCTGCCTGGGGCTCTCCCAGCTCGTAGAACGGGGGCTTCCCCGTGGCCATCTCGATGATGGTACAGCCCAGGGACCAGATGTCGGCGGGCTTGCCGTAGCCACGTGGGCCCCTGTCGATGATCTCCGGAGCCATGTACTGCAGGGTTCCTGCCGACGCGCGAGACAAAGACAAAGACCCCCCCCCCGCCGTATAGCCTCAACAGACTTTTGGGGCAAGTGCAGTTAGCGAGCGCGCGTGGATTTTCTCCGGGAACTCCGGTTTCCTCCTGTATGTATAGACACTCGTTAATTTGGCAATAACAACTGGATATATAGAGGAGTGCAGAGCTTTGGGCGGGGGCATTTGGTGCCAGTTCACTGCGTGGCTGTTGCTGCTCCTGGTGCCTCCGAGTCGTCCTCTCTCTCGACGAGAGCGAGGAGCGAACACCGTGGGGCGTGATTATCGCAGGAATGCCGCTGACACCGTCACACTCGGCAGAATCACGGCACCACCATCACCACAAGCATGACCAGAATTAACGTCATGGATACCACCATTTTAGTTCTTAGGCAACTGACAAGGCTGGAGACTTAATATCCCTAAAGCCTCACTTACACCACTAACTCACCTATACCCCCACTAATTTACCCACCCCACTCCACCCCACTCCACCCCACTCCACCCCACTCCACCCCACTCCACCCCACCCCACTCCACCCCACCCCACTCCACCCAACTCCACCCTACCCCACTCCTCCACCCCACTCCACCCCATTCCACCCCACTCCACCCCACTCCACCCCACTCCACCCCACTCCACCCCACTCCACCCCACTCCACCCCACTCCACCCAACTCCACCCACCCCACTCCTCCACCCCACTCCACCCCATTCCACCCCACTCCACCCCATTCCACCCCACTCCACCCCACTCCACCCAACTCCACCCTACCCCACTCCTCCACCCCACTCCACCCCATTCCACCCCACTCCACCCCATTCCACCCCACTCCACCCCATTCCACCCATTCCATCCCACTCCACCCAACTCCACCCAACTCCACCCCACCCCACTCCACTCCTCCACCCAACCCGTAAAGCTGTCCCTGAAAGGCTCACAGATGTCCCCGGACAACTGCCTCCCCAACAAGAGGACAGGGAAACGAGGGCAGGTGGCAACCCTCGGCGGGCAGTGTCAATGTTTCAGGTCGGTCGCCACGTCGCCCAGAACCCAGTCGCACCCACAGCAGCCCTGCGCGTGCGCTACCTGTGAACGTCTCTGTCGATGGATTGAGCCCTGCCAGCCTCTTGCTGGTGCCAAAGTCCGATATCTTGAGCACTCCGCTGTACGTGTTGATGAGGACATTGTCCCCCTAAGCACGGGCACGGGGAGACAAAGACAGTATCGCCTGAACAGACTGGCCAGGGCACGTCAGAAGAAGAATATGTATTTACACTGGAGGAATCCGATGAGCTATAAAGCTCTTCATCACAGTGCACTTAGCGAGTAGCGTGGACACCGCCCCACCCGGCCTAGGAGGCGAGGCCTTCGCCCCTGCCGTGAGCCTGAGCGTGCATCGACACGGACTCACCCACCCACCCACCAATCCACCCACTCACCGACCCACCCACCCACTCAACGACCCACCCATGCACCCACCCACCCACTGACCCACCCACCCACTCACCGACCCACCAACCCACTCACCGACCCACCCATGCACCTACCCACCCACTGACCCACCCGTCCACTCACCACCGATTAACCCAACCACCCACCGACCCACCGACCTTGATGTCCCTGTGCACGATCTGGTTCTCGTGCAGGTACTGGAGGCCCTCGAGGATCTGCTTGGTGTAGAAGGCGATGGTGGTCTCGTTGTCCTTCAGCGGTCCCCACTTGGACCGCAGCAGAGCGGAGAGGCTTCCTGCAGACGCCACGCACAGCCCGCGTCGTGCACGGGCAGGCCTCTTGGTGCATCTCACTGGGGGCCCCGTGAGTGGGGGGCCCCGTGAGTGGGGGGCCCCGTGAGTGGGGGGCCCCGTGAGTGGGTAGGGGGCTCCGCGCTCAGTGACGAAGCTTACACCGAGGCCTGGGGCCTAGTCCTGCCAGTCAGCCTCCTCGTTCTGTTATGCCATCTGGTGATCATCTTCACTGTTTTTATTCACATTACCCGTCCTTTGTAAGAGCGTTCATACAACATGTCTCTTTGTAAACGTTTAGTTTCGTATCAACTTTCTTGACGTGGCCTGGAACCTTGAGGCACAAAAGGCGCTCGATAAATACTGATATTTTGCATTATTATTAATATTATATCGTGGCAACCCTGCAATTGACAATCTCTCATTGACAACGCATTTTCTTATCATTATTATTACCACCATGAACGACGACTTATTTATTATATTCATATTAATTTATTCTTAAAACGAACGAATGGGGTGATTGTTTCTTGATTTCTAGATAAATAAAATCAATTAAGTGTGCGGTCGTCATCATCGGCACCTCCGGGAACCTGCTCCATGAAGATTTTGAAGAAGCCCCCTTCGCTGACCGAGCCGAGGTAGCGCACGATGTTGCGGTGCTTCAGGTGCTTGTGCAGAGCGATCTCCTCGTGCAGCGGCTGCGAGAAGCTGTGCGCACACAGCACAGAGGCACCCCGCGCCCCCCACCCCGCGTAGTGGTTGAGTGTCGGGCCGATTTTGTTGATCCTCGGCGAGAACGCGAGAGACGAGGGGGCGGAGTCACGTGCACGGCGCGGTAACTTTAGAGGCACTTTTGCGAGTCAACTGATTGGCTCACAAGTGATTGGCTCAGAAGTGACGACATCACATTCATGCCTCTATGTAAGACAGAAGCAGAGGGATTTATCCACGACTCTCTGGCTGTCCGCCTGGTGTGATGGTACTCGAACTGTAAACGTTGCCGTGGGTTTACTCTCGAACACACTCGGAAGCGTTCCGGTAGCTGCACTATACACTACACTATACTACACTATACACTAGTGCTGTACTAGTAACGAATTGGCCACGGGACAAACCTTACTAATTGGCTGTGTCGGGTAGTCGCGGGTTTAACGATACATTTATATTCACGGGATCTAACCCAAACACCTCTATTGTGGAGAAATCACGGGGGCGGCCGTCGGATTCGAACCGCGGACCTCTGCCGGTGCCGGTCTCCGTGTCTCGGCCACGCCACGCGGACGGAGCCGTGGTGTGGAGGTGGGGGGAAGACCCACCGGCTCACCGACTCGCTCACCGGCTCACTCACCGACTCGCTCACCGGCTCACTCACCGACTCGCTCACCGGCTCACTCACCGACTCGCTCAACGGCTCACTCACCGACTCGCTCACCGGCTCACTCACCGACTCGCTCAACGGCTCACTCACCGACTCGCTCACCGGCTCACTCACCGACTCGCTCACCGGCTCACTCACCGACTCGCTCACCGGCTCACTCACCGACTCGCTCAACGGCTCACTCACCGACTCGCTCACCGGCTCACTCACCGACTCGCTCACCGGCTCACTCACCGACTCGCTCAACGGCTCACTCACCGACTCGCTCACCGGCTCACTCACCGACTCGCTCACCGGCTCACTCACCGACTCGCTCACCGGCTCAGTCACCGACTCGCTCACCGGCTCACTCACCGACTCGCTCACCGGCTCACTCACCGACTCGCTCAACGGCTCACTCACCGACTCGCTCAACGGCTCACTCACCGACTCGCTCACCGGCTCACTCACCGACTCGCTCACCGGCTCACTCACCGACTCGCTCACCGGCTCACTCACCGACTCGCTCAACGGCTCACTCACCGACTCGCTCACCGGCTCACTCACCGACTCGCTCACCGGCTCACTCACCGACTCGCTCAACGGCTCACTCACCGACTCGCTCACCGGCTCACTCACCGACTCGCTCACCGGCTCACTCACCGACTCGCTCACCGGCTCAGTCACCGACTCGCTCACCGGCTCACTCACCGACTCGCTCACCGGCTCACTCACCGACTCGCTCAACGGCTCACTCACCGACTCGCTCAACGGCTCACTCACCGACTCGCTCACCGGCTCACTCACCGACTCGCTCACCGGCTCACTCACCGACTCGCTCACCGGCTCACTCACCGACTCGCTCACCGGCTCACTCACCGACTCGCTCAACGGCTCACTCACCGACTCGCTCAACGGCTCACTCACCGACTCGCTCACCGGCTCACTCACCGACTCGCTCACCGGCTCACTCACCGACTCGCTCACCGGCTCACTCACCGACTCGCTCACCGGCTCACTCACCGACTCGCCTCAACGGCTCACTCACCGACTCGCTCAACGGCTCACTCACCGACTCGCTCACCGGCTCACTCCCCGACTCGCTCACCGGCTCACTCACCGACTCGCTCACCGGCTCACTCACCGACTCGCTCACCGGCTCACTCACCGACTCGCTCAACGGCTCACTCACCGACTCGCTCACCAGCTCACTCACCGACTCGCTCACCAGCTCACTCACCGACTCGCTCACCAGCTCACTCACCGACTCGCTCACCGGCTCACTCACCGACTTGCTCACCGGCTCACTCACCGGCTTTCTCACCGCCTCACTCACCTGTGGTCCTTCTCGGGCACCTCCTTGATGGCGATGCGGACCTGGTTGCTGAGGTCCCGGCCGGCGTACACCGTCCCGAACGTGCCGCGGCCCAGCACCAACTTCTCTTCGTTCTCATTGTAGTCGTAGTCCCACTAAGCCCACGCAAAACAAGCACAGACAAAGATCCCCCGTGCAGCCGTCAAGGGACCGTTGGGGCGAGCGCTGTTGAGCGAGCGGCGCCGAGGAAGGCCGGCACGGCGCGCACGATGGGGCGGGGTGGCCAGCCCCACGCCCGGGCCCCCTTCCGTCTCCCCAGCGGCGGTGTTTACACACCGCGCCGGGTACTCGATTGAGATCGAGTCGAGCCACGGGAGGACTCGGGAGCGGTCGCGGTAATCGTCGCCGGGTACGTGGGGCAGCGGCACCGCCGCGAGGGATCGTGTGGTCGCACGCGTACCTCCAGCACGCCGCAGTCCACCTCGGCCTCCAGCTCCAAGCCGCGCTCTTCCATCACCTCCTTGGCCAGATCGTGGAACCTGGCGCACCACGACACGCGGTGCGGGATAATCGTCGGCAAATGTTGGCGGTGATCGGGAATCGAACTCGGGTAGACTGGGTTTGTGGCGCGGCGTGCTAACCGGTGCTTCCTTTCAGGAGGGTCCTGCCCGGTGTTTTCGCAGTAGGGGAGGGAGGGGGGGTGCGATGTTGCTGTGTGTAATGCTGTTGCTGTTGAGCGATTCGTAGGTAATTTTGCAGCATTGCGATGTATTGGCCAATACATCGCAATGCTGCTGTTTGTGCCATGGTGGCGAGATGTTAACTACCTCGCCGGTATGCAGGAGGTCGTGGGTTCGACCCTGATGCCTGTATATATGGAGTTTGCATGTCCCTCTCTCTCCCCGTGATCGTGTGGATTTCTCTTTGGGTCCTCCAGTTTTTCCAGTTTTTCCTTCCACATTTAGAAACATGCGTTTTAGAGTATTTGGCTGCTATGAATTTTCATGTAATAAACCACTTCGTTGAGGAATCATTTGTGGCCAGGTCGGTTGTGATCTTGACATCGCTGGTACGAGTCATCGGCAAGTCCCACATCCTCTTGTATCACATCACTCCATCTCTCTAGCCCGTGCTGCGCCCGTTTAGCCCCCTCTATCAGACCAAACAAAAGCTGTTTAGGCATGTGGTGGCTGGGCATGCGGGCTACATGGACCAGCCAACGCAGCCTTGCCTGCTGGAGGAGCTCACTGATGGGACTTTGTCCAGATCTTTCAAGGATTTGTGAGCTCCTCACACAATCCAGCCTGGTTAAATCCAGGATGGATCGTAGGCAGGCCAGCCTAAATGTTTCTAACCGGCGAAGAGGTTCAATTAGGGGGGTCCACGTTTCGCAAGCGTAGAGAAGGGAGGGCATGACCGTGGCTGAGAAGATCCGAAGCTTCGTGTGGAGCGACAGACCAAGCAGCTTCCACACAGCGTTACGCAGCCGATGAAAAGATAATGCTGACCGACTGATTCGGAGTGAGACCTCTGCTGTCAAAGCGGAGCCAGCCGGTCATGATCACACTGCTCAGGTATGGAAAATGAAAACACAGACACACACGCACACACGCACACGGCCAACGATGAAAAAGGCAAAGCACCTCTTGGCTTGCGACTCAGACGAGAAGCAAATCTGGAAGTCGTCCGAGTTGCCGGAGACGTAGAGAAAGCAGCAGCGCTCGTCGCACTTGGAGATGCTGCACGCCACCACAGGGCACAAGCCGGGCAAGCCGGGCCACACAACGAGCCTCACACAGATTTGAAGCTTTCGTGACTGCAAGGATTCATATTCTTAGGTTTTTTTCGGTAAAGTCACGTAGGTAAAAAAATAAAATTAATAAAAGGAAAATAAAAAATAAAAATCACGACGTTTCGGAGGCAACACAAGCTTCCGTCTTCAGGTGGAACCGTCACAGCACGACAGCTGTATCAAGTACTTGTGACGGTTCACCTGAAGACGGAAGCTTGTGTTGCCTCCGAAACGTCGTGATTTTTATTTTATTTCTATTTTTTATTTTACTTTTATTAATTTTAATTTTTTACCTACGTGACTTTACCGAAAAAAACCCTAAGAATATGAGCCTCATACATTGAACTTTTTTTTTACAGACACAATCGGCCATTTATTTTGTATTTCTTAATGAGACAATCAAAACAGGTTACAACTACGGCTCGCGTCACGATTAATCTCCCTCCAGCAATTCGATAAATTGTTCGGATTCATAATTGAGGTTAGGACCTTTGACGCTCACCTAACACCGCGGATATCAGCGGCTTTGAAGTTCCACTCGTGAATTTTCTTCTGCAAAAGCAAAAAAAATTAACATAAAAGTCCACACGTGGAAAAATAATCCTGAACACTTGCCAGGAGCCTCCATGACAAAAAAATTTTAAATTGCGAGACTCAAGTGAAATGCTCCTGGGTAAACAAGTTACATAAAAACAAGTCAAATAACAACAATTACAGGGACACCTCGACTTACAGTCGGGTTCCAGAGGTCTGTTCGCAAGTCGAACTTTCACTCCTGATGATTCCAAATATGTCATACGGCATGTACGCTAAACACGGGGAATGGCTTTAAAAGTTGTATAATCTCCTGCAGATGCCACTGGTTCTTCATGTGGCATCTAGATGACATACGGACAGGTTTGTTCGTATAACTCTGAAAGTTTGCAAATCGAATGTTCGTAAGAGTCCCTGTACGATGAAGCATCACCCACAGCATCATCACACATGACGTCATCGTCATCATCACCCACAGTGTCATCACACACGTCATCATCACCCACAGCGTCATCACACACGACATCATCACCCACAGTGTCATCATACATGACGTCATCGTCATTATCACCCACAGCGTCATCACACAACAGCGTCATCATCATCATCACCCACAGCATCATCGCACACATCATTATCATCTTCTTGGTTCTTTCGGTAAAGTCACGTAGGAGGAAAATAATAAAATAATAAAAATAAAACATAATAAAAGAATATCATATAAAATAAAAATTTCATTTTATTTTATTATTTCCCTCCTACGTGACTTTACCGAAAGAACCAAGAAGATGAATCCCTGCAGTCACGAAATCATCATCATCATCACCCACAGCGTCATCACACACGACATCATCATCATCACCCACAGCGTCATACACGACAGCGTCATCGTCGTCATCACCCGCAGCGTCACTGGGCCACAGCGAAGCCACGTGGTCACCGCCCTCACCAGGTCGCGGGGCTCAACGTGCCAGAGGGAGAAGGACTTCTCTTCCGCTTCACCGTTCACGGACAAGTACGACGGCTGGTACACCTTGGAGCCCTCAAAGATCAGCACCTGTGGGCACCGGGGGAGCGAGTCAGGGTGAATGTGCGTCCGCTGCACTTGTTCCGCACCGTGGGTAGTAGCCCAATCGCGATCATCGGAGGTGCGGGGGAAGGACAACAAACTGAACACAAAAAGCAGTTCGGTAAAGAAGTGAGTTTGTCAATCTAGATGATGATTTAAAAGTGCACAGCTCCCAGCGGCTTCCTAATCTCATAAGCAAGAGCGTTCCAGACGGCCGCAGAAGCGCATCTGAAATCGTGCGATGCAGTGACCATCTTTGTTTCGATGGCCAGCCGAATATGTATTGCCATGGTCAATCCACTGCTGGATGAAGGCCTCCCCAAGTCACTGCCACCTCGTCAAGATCTTGCGACGCGATGTAACGGCGGTGAAGCCCGCAAGCGCATAATTGTAATTATTATAATTATTTAAAAAAACACAATAAAAAACACATGGGAATAAAATCGGAGCGGTCGGCAATTAACGAAACGCGTGGCCTAGAAGCCAGCGCTGTGGAGGCATCAGCGGCGAGGGTTGGTGGACCACCGCAACGGATGGGGCGCCAATCTCCCTTCCCGCGGGCGTCAAGGAGGAGCCGTACCCTGGGCTGCACCAGTTCCGTCTGTACGGGGATCGAGTGTTTCCCCCTCGCACGCGTGAGTTTTCTCCTGCTGCTCCCGTTTGCTTCCGCGAGTATAAACACTGGTCATTAATTGGCCGAGAACACCTTCATATGGAGAGGAACGCAGAGCTTGGGCAATTGTTGGCAACGGCTCCTGCCCACTGGGTTGGCTGCTGCTGCCTCCTCCCTGCTTCCTCGTCTGAGGTTCCTCCTTCTTGGTGCCTCCGAGTCGTCCTCTCTCCCTCTCTCTCAAAGTCGCCCTCTCTCTCTGAGCCATCCTCTCTCCCTCCAAGTCGTCCTCTCTCTCTCTCTCAAAGTCGTCCTCTCTCCCTCCGAGCTCTCTCCCTCCGAGTCGTCCTCTCTCTCTCTCCGAGTCGTCCTCTCTCTCTCTCCGAGTCGTCCTCTCTCTCTCTCCGAGTCGTCCTCTCTCCCTCTGAGTCGTCCTCTCTCCCTCTGAGTCGTCCTCTCTCCCTCTGAGTCGTCCTCTCTCTCAAAGTCACCCCCCCCTCTCTCAAAGTCGCCCTCTCTCTCTCTCTCAAAGTCGTCCTCTCTCCTTCCGAGTCATCCTCTCTCCCTCCGAGTCGTCCTCTCTCCCTCAAAGTCGTCCTCTCTCTCTCTCCCTCTCTCAAAGTCGTCCTCTCTCCCTCCGAGTGGCCCCCCCTCTCCCTCACTACGAGAGCGAGTGGGGGCCACTCCCACGCAAGGCGAGCCGATCTCGCCGCTCCGTCTCACCGGGAAGCGCAGGGTGCTGCTCTCGCCCAGCGACCCGGCCGTGTTCATGAACTCGATCCAGAAGTCGAGGCGGCTCTGCAGGGCCACTGCCTTGGTGCCCACGCCCCGCAGCATGTGCTGCAGGATCAGCTGCCCGTTCTGCACCACGGAGCGCACGTACCTACGCGCAAACGCAGGAGTCACCCCCCCGCCCCCCTGAGCCTTCAACGGAGCGTCGAGGGCAAGCGCCGTTGAGAGGAGCGAGCGGCACCGGCGGCACCTGCCACGAAGAAGGCCGCCACTGTGGCGGCACGGGCCGCGTCGTCTCCCGAGTGGCGAAGATGTTTGCTCACAGCGCCAGGTTCTCGTTTGAGGCCGATCCTGGCGGAGGCCCAGGACCGGTGCAGATAATCGTCGCCCGGTGGCGGTGGCCGTGAGCGGGAATCGAACTCGGGTCGCCGGGTTCGTAGCGCGGCGCGCCCTACGGCTACGCTACCGCTCCCCGCATAACCACGCGTGCACACGTCACGCGTTTACACACGTGCGTACGTAGATACAAATATATACACCATAACAGCCTTTAGCAACAGGCTGTTGAGGGCAAGTGCTGTTAGTTGTGAGTCGCTGCGTCTATGGAGGCCGGCTCTGTGGCACACACAGAGGGGGTGTGTGGGTGGATGGGCAGCACCACGCCCGTCCCCCTAGCAGTGGTGTGTTGTCTGTTTATTTTGGCTACAGGTAAACAGACAATGGGCAGTTAATACAAATCTTCGACGTGGATCTGGTTGCACAATAGAAACCTGGTTACAGCAAAATAATAACGAGAAAAATAACGACACAAATGTACGTGGCCAAGTTACGCATGGCCAGGGCGTTCATCGACATGACGCCAATCGCCACGAAATACACGAGGCTCGTCGGACGCTTTGTATACACCAAGACGCAGGTACACACACACACACGAACACACACGTATACACACGTACACACACACACACGCGTATACACGTACACACACACACACGTACACACACACACACGCGTATACACACGTACAAACACACACACACGTATACACGTACACAAACACACGCGTATACACACGTACACACACACACACGCGTATACACGTACACACACACCCGCGTATACACGTACACACACACACACACGTATACACACGTACACACACACACGTATACACACATACACACATACGTACACAAAACAAAGACAAAGACCACCATACCATACAGCCTTAACAGACTGTTTGGGGTAAGTGCTGTTAGCGAGCACACACACACGTATATACATGCACACACACGTATATACATGCACACACACACACGGTCGGTGTCAAACAGCACCGAGGCCGGTACGATTGCCAACAAAGACCACAAAAGCACTTCACCGTAAACCCAAAGTCGGCCAAGCAGAGCGACCAACTGCACGCGGCGCAGGAGGAGACGCGCGGTCCACGAGTGAGCAGCTCGCGGGGATAGCGGTGGCGGCGTCGGGGGGGGGGTGGTGGCGGCGTCGGGGGGGGGGGCGGGGGGGGGGCACTCACCAGGACGGGGGGTGCAGGCGGTAGAGCTTGTCGGCGGCCTGCGTGGCCTTGGCGTGGTCTCCGGCCAGGAGGCTCACGGCCATGAAGAGGCCCACGTCCCAGTAGCTGGACAGCTTCTCCAGGCTGCCCTTGCGGCCCAACAGCGAGTTCAGCTTCATGCCTGCGCGAGCGGCCAACGAGCCATGGGGCGAGAGTGGGGTCATCATCATCACTCTTCCTCCTCCTCGTCCCACTCCTTACTGCTGCCTTCTCCTCGCTGGCTCGTGCGGCCAGCGCCAGCGCGCCCGAGCTGCGTGGCGGGTGGCGGCCCGCGCGCGCGTGGCCCGTGATCCGGCAGCGCTGTGGAGGCAGTGGCGGCGCAGGCGCTGGTGCCCTCGAATAAACGTGGCAAGGGGCGCGAGAGAGAGAGAGAAGATGGAATGCCAAAGCTGGCCTCCCTCCCTCTCTCCCGGCATCTAGGGGAGATGTCAGACGCCCGCAATGACCTTCGCTGCGACGCAGAGAGACTCCCCGAGCGAAAGGCCAACTCCGCGGTGGGCGAGGCGGCGGTGGTCGAGCGGCACCCCGTCAGGCGGAGAACGAAAAAAATCGCAGCTCGACGGTAAATCCTTCGATGCGGCACAAGATGATGGACTTCACTTGCTATTCGCTCTCGACGTGCGTCCGTGTCGCGATACGCGTGTCCGGCCCGGGCGGTGGCGGCGGCTACGCTGCTGCTGCTGCATGTGGCTGCACGTGACTGCTGCTGCTGCACGTGACTGCTGCCCGTAACCCGGCGTTGGCGGGGGTTGGTGGATCGCCGCACGGATGCTGGCGAAACTCCCCGGTAGGCGTGGGCGTCGAGGAGACGTGCGCTGGGGATTCAGAGCCTTCTCGGTGCAAGGAGGACCCCCCCCCCCCTTGTCTGCTACACCGGGCGACGCCGCTGCACTTCCATTTAACAGCCCGTTCCTCCGTACGGAACGCTTTGACGTTGTTGTTGTTGTATCACGGATCTCCTTGGAAAGTTAGCTGGGTAGCTGGCTAAACGGGATATTCTGTGTGACATATAAACATCGCTTGATTGAGTGGGCGAGTGGGTTGGCAAGTCAGTGAACAATTGTGCCTGGGTTAGCGATCGAGCGAGTGAGGCAGTGTGTGATTGATGGATTGAGCGAGTGAATAAATACAGGCACCTATCTTGCGTAGCTCCGGGGAGCCTTCAAAGTCTTGTCCAGACGCGATGAGCAGAGAAGCCAAGTGAATCCCGGAGTAGAGGCTCGGCTCCACGTCAAACTGCCTTCCGATACCTGAACACACGCACCAAGACAAAGATCCCCCCCCACGTGTCGCCTTAACAGACTGTAGGGGCGAGCGCTGCTAGCGAGCGGCACCGATGAAGGACCGGCACGGCACACGAGGGGGTGGGTGGGGACAGCACCACGCCAGGCCGCCTTTGTCTCCCCAGTGGCGATCTTTACACATCGCCACAGGTACTCATTTGAGGCCGAGTCGACCTAGGGGAGGCCCGGGACCGGTTCAGATAATCGGCGGCGGTGTTGGCCGTGAGCGGGAATCGAAGCTGGGTCACCAGGTTTATAGCGCAGCGCGCTAACCGCTACACTACCGCTCCCCCCTTATATACACACACACACATTGATAGAGACAAGTCTACAACACAACAGATGCCCAAGATCAGTTCAGATGTCACACTCGCCCCGGACAACTATAAACTGAACGCGTTCGTCAATAACCCTGCGAGGCCTTGAAAGGAAACATTACGGGCAATGACCCAACTTCCCCGTACATCACGCGCAGAGAGGCCAGACAGGCAGAGTGAGATGAGTTGGAGAGCCACATTTGATTACTCCGCGGGGCCCCGAAGAGAATTACAATCGGGGGAGGCAAAAAAAAACCAAACGCTTTCGCCACTGACGTCAGCCGTGGCCGGCAACGGAACTCGTGTTCGTAGAGGCTCGTGGCGCTCGACTGCCGTGCCCCGCGGGACCCCGGGAGATCCGCTGCCCCCCCCCTCTCCCCTCTCACCACTCGAGGGCGCTGTCGCGGCTCTCCGTGTCGCTGCAGCCCGAGTCCATGAACTTGTCCTTGTAGATGCGACCGCAGAGGCACAGCATGTCGGAGGGGGGCTGCTCGCAGCCCTCCACCACCTGACGCATCACCGACAGCGCCTTCTCGCGGTCGCCCGCACTGCCGCGTCTGGACACGAGCGCGGCGGCGGCGGTGGCGGCGGGGGGGGGGGGGGGGGGACGGGGGGGGCGGGGGGGGGCGGGGGGGGCGGGGGGGGGACACGCGGAGTCATCGACACGCAACGGCCGGTCATTTCTCTTTGGTCACGGCCGACACGATTTTCTGCCCCAAACGGATCGCAATCGGGGAATCTTTCAAGCATTCATCCTGGAGGAGGAATCCGATGAGCCATGAAGCTCTTTTTCACGGCACACGGGGGTCAGTGCGATGCATGATACAAGTGCAGGAGAGAGGTAAGCACGTTGCTGAACATGAACAAGTATACATATAAAGAGTATACGAATACGGATTGCGCAGGTACATGAAGTCCTGACAATTTGGCGAACACCAAATGCAAGCTTGGGGCAAGGCAGCAAAACAACAGCAGCAGCAAGAAGAGTCCCAGCCCACACCAAGACAACACCGCACAGTCCCCTCAACGGAATTGCACGTGAACACTGAACTATCGATACGGCCACAGAGGTCAGACGTGGATGTTCCAACCGCAATGCGGTGCCACCGACGGGACAGCGCTCGCTCGCGACGAGGGGAGAGAACGAGGACGACTCGGAGGACGACTCAAGACTCAGAGGGGACGACTCAGGGGTGCCAGGAGGAGGAAGAGGGAAGGCAGCAGCGGCAGCAGCACCAGCAGCCACGCGGTGAACCAGCAACAATTGGCCAAGCTCTGCGGTCCTCTACATATTAAGGTGTTTGAGAGTATTTGGCGACTGCTATAGGTTTCCACGTGATAAGCCACTTCGTTGTGCTGTCATTTGTGCTTCCCATGTCGTTTCTGAAAAAGAGCTACGTAGCTCAGTGGGCCTTACACCTGCTAAAATAAAAAATAAAATAGTTGAGTTGTCAGCCAATTAATGAGGATCTATCCAGGTGAGAGGAAACCGAGAGCACCGGGAGAAACACAACACACGTGCGATGGGGAAACACGCTATCCCGCACAGAAGGAGCAGGAGGAGCGACGACAGTGGTGGTAATCATCATCATTGCCGTCGTCATCATCGTCGTTATTGACGTCATCGTCATTATTATCATCATTATCATCATCATTGCCTTTATCGTCGTCGTCTTCATTGTCGTCGTCATCATCATCATCATCGTCGTCATCATCATCATCATCGTCACTATCGTCGTCATCATCATCCTCGTCATCGCCACTACCTCCTCCTCCGTGGCACAGGCCTGCCGGTGCGGCCGCACGCACCTGTTGAGGGCGAACGCGTAGTGGAACTTGATGTTGTTCTGGTTGGCCAGGTCGCACGTGGGCAGAGCGTCCAGGGTCTCCACCAGCTTCACCATCGAGTCGTAGTCCTGTGGGCCACACGGCCAGCCAAGCCCAGCCAGTCAGCGTCTCCCGGTCACACGCCAAGGCGACGACCTCACCACCCGCAGTGCCACCGCTGACCAGGCTGCGGTTCGCGAGCAGCACTTGTGACAGGCCGGCACGGCACACGACGGGGAGGGTGGCTAGCGCCACGCCCGGCCGCCTTTGTCTCCCGAGCGAAAATGTTAATGAGGCACCGCACCAGGCGCTACTCATTTGAGGCCGAGTCGACATAGGGGGAGGACCCGGGATCGGTTCGGATAATCGTCACCGGCGTTGGTGGCCGTGAGCGGGAATCGAAGGTCGCCGTGTCTGCTGCGCCAACGCTCCCCACACGCAATGCAGGACGACACTCCTATGGACGCTGGCACGGCACACGAGGGGGGTGGGGTGGCCAGCGCCGTACGTCCGTGCCGACTTCACCGCGACAGTGAGCGCGAGACCACGGCGCAAGTGAAATTAGTCCACCGTACTCATCGCCGACTGTTGGTCAACCCACGCTTGCCGAGCGGGGGCGGCGGCGGCGGGGGTCATCCCAACTGGACTCCGGGTTGCGAACTCGCCGGCTCCAAGAGGCGTGCCACACAAGAAGGGAGGTGTGGGCGGGGGGCGGGCGCGAGGAACGGAGCGTCGCGAGGAGTCCGCCGTCTCGGATCGCGGACTCGCAGGAACGCGCGGGCAGACGCGAGGACAAAGCCGTCACGCACACGGCGGGCGGGGAGCGGGGAAGCTGGGGGTTGGCTCACGCGGGCGGCCAGACGCACGCACGCAGGCCGCACAAAGGACGAGGAATCCCGTGTTTACCCAACAGAGCGTCGTCGTGGCGAGCGCGGGGGCCGGTGGCAAGAAGCCATCACGGGCCGCACGATGCGATCGCGCACCAGACGCGGACACGCAGACACGCACGCAGACACGCACGCAGACACGCACGCAGAGACGCACGCAGAGACGCACGCAGAGATGCACGCAGACACGCACGCAGACACGCGAGACGCTCACGCCCATTCACAGACGCGCGCAAAAATAAAGACAAAGATTCCCCCCCTCATAGCCGTTGCAGACTATTTGGGCAAGTGCTGTTAGCGAGCACCTATAAAGGCCGGCACGGCACACGAGGGGGTGGGTGGCCAACACCATGCCTGGCCGCCTTTGTTTCCCCAGTGGTGATGTTTACACATCAAACCAGGTACTCATCTGAGGCTGAGTCGACCTAGGAGAGGCCCAGGACCGGTTCAGACAATCGTCGCCGGTGTCTCCCCCAGCAGCGATGTGTAAAACACCGCACCAGGTGCTCGCGTGACTCCGGCAGCGCGGGTTTCCCACCGCGCCGGGCTAGGTGCACCTGCAGGTCGCGGTAGGAGAGCAGCAGGTTGATGACGATGTCGGGGCTCAGCAGCTCGGTGGTGTCGAGGCGCGAGCGGATGCGCGCCAGCTCCCGCGCCAGCTCCTCCCCCTGGTACTTGCCGCGGGCCCGGCGGATGTCACCGAGGATCGCGTCCTTGCAGAGGACGCTGCGCGGGGCGACACGAGAACCGCAGACTCATCACACAGACTCACCACTCACTCACCACACAGACTCACTACACAGACTCACCACAGACTCACCACTCACTCACCACACAGAGACCCACAGACTCACCACACAGACTCACCACACAGAGACCCACAGACTCACCACACAGAGACCCACAGACTCACCACACAGAGACCCACAGACTCACCACACAGAGACCCACAGACTCACCACACAGAGACCCACAGACTCACCACACAGAGACCCACAAACTCACCACACAGAGACCCACAAACTCACCACACAGAGACCCACAGACTCGCCGCCCACTCACCTGCTGGTGACCTGCACGTCCTGCAGGATCTGCTGGAGGCGGTCTGCGAGCGGCACGCACAGCGCCCCGAGGCCCGGGTCCCAGTTGAGGTGGTGCAGGGCGAGCGAGGCGCGACGCAGGGCGCCCCCCTCCTGGTCGCCCAGCACCGGCGTCACCGCCACGCCGTGCGCCGTCGCCGCCGAGTACGGCACGAACGTGCAGCTCCCGCACGACGCCTGCAAAGGGCCAAGGCCACCGGATTAGCCTCCGACCTTTGCCCACGTTTTTCTTAACCCTTTCCCGTTCCAATGACGTACGTGTAGGTGCGTGTACGTCATCAGTTTTTCTTCCGATTCCGTTCCAATGACGTACGTGTACAGTCAGTTCGTGTACGTCATCGGAGGAAGAACATTAAAATCATAAACTAACTTTATGGGTACCGAGTCTCCCACAAGGCCATACGGGAGGGCATGTGGCACAGTTTGGTGCCAGATATTGTAGAGGTGCGGTCGTGTCCCTACAGTTCGCTGCGGTGAGTACGACGTCTTTAAACACGGCGGCGCTACGCCTCTGTAGATAAAATTAACGCTGAGACGCTTGCGCGATCCGAAATTCAGCGGTGAATCGGACACCGTACCCTGCAACTTGCAGACGTCTTGGAACGGTAAAGGAGTTATAATTGTTGTCCGTCGGATGGAGGAGGGTGTATGAAAGAACATTATACTCACGCGGCGATCTGAGCCGAAGATCAATTGTGAATTGTGAGCCTCTAGCAGACGTGTACACACAAACACAAAGATCCCCCATGCAGCCTCTAGCAGACGTGCGTACACAGACTAAGTTTTCGATTCCCGCTCACGGCACAACACGAGCGACGATTATCTGAACCGGTCGTGGGCCTCGCCTAGGTTGACTCAGCCTCAAATGATTACCCGGTATACGATGTGTAAACATCGCCGCTAGGGAGACAAAGGCGGCCGAGCGTGGTGATGCCCACCCTCCCCCTCGTGTGCCGTGCGTAGGTGCTACCCGCTTACAGCACTTTCCCTGGCAGTCTGTTAAGGCTACACGGGGAACCTCTGTCTTTGATACCTTGAGAGTGTCGGGGTCGGAGCCGCTGTACAGAACGATGTTGTTGGTCATGTCGAAGCTCTCGCGAACTCCCAGGTGGTAGAGCAGCGAGGGCTGGTGGAAGAAGTCACTCATTTCCACCACGGCCACATCTGTTGCACCGCAGGAGATGGACAAACACGCACGCACACACACACACCCGGTTACACGCGCATACAAAGACCTCACCCCCCCCTTGCCGTATAGCCTCAACGGGCTGTTGGGGCAAGTGCTGTTAGCGAGCACCTACAAAGGCCAGCACGGCACACGAGGGGAGGGTGGCCAGCACCACGCCCAAGCCGCCTTTATCTCCCCAGTGGCGATGTTTACACACTGCACCAGGTACTCATTTGAGGCTGAGTCGACGTAGGGGATGCCCAGGACCGGTTCAGATAATCTTCACCGGTGCCGTCGTGAGTGGGAATCGAACTCGGGTCGACGGGTTCGTAGAGTACCACGCTAACCGCTACACTACCGCTCCCTATGGTTACACACACACAGACGCACACACAGACGCACACACAAACACACACAGATGCACACACAGACACCCACAGACACACACACACGTACACACACACCCAAATACACAAAGATCCCCCTTGTGTGGAGGTGCACAGAATGCGGTTGGCGAGCAACGCCAATGAAACTCAAGACCCTGCATGGCGGTCACAGCGACGCCGAGGTTTCATTCTGACTGTGCCTCCACGCTGCACGCAAACACCACACCCCTGCTGCTGCTGCTGCTGTTGGTGGTGACAGTGGCGACGGGCGGTGTTTCGCAACATCCTGGATGTGCGAACACTGGAACATCTACGCTTTTGCTCCGCGTACTAACGGCGAAGATTCACATCCAGCGCGGTGCAGCCGGCCAAATACCCTCTAGAGGGGCGCCGTCCAGTGGAGGGCCCTCCTGCCAGCGGTGGCGTGAGCAGAGCAATTGCAGGGGCTGCGCCTTCATCCACCTTTTCCGAATAAGGAACAAAACAGTTCAAAAGGTTAACTTTGACCGGAGCAGGGTTCCAACTTTTGCTCGAATTTTCCATCAAATCACGTGGCGTCTTCCTCCTCTTCCTTCTCCTCCCGCTCCTCTTCCTCCTCCTTCCTCCCCTTCCCCCTCTCTCACCACGTGCCCCGTGACGTCACTTCTGTCAGAATCTCAACGCTTCTCTTCCCTCCGCTTTTACCCTCCGCGCCTATTAAGCTTCCCTTTTTAAGCATCAACTTGCGCGCGCGTTAAAAACAACGGAAGGAACGAACGGGTGGACTAAACCTAAGATCTCCGCCGTTCCGCGGGCAATGTGGCGCAAGGTGACATTCGAGTGCAAGAGATTACCGCGCGCTGCGAGCGGACAGGTGGAACGGATTACTTTGTAACCCCAAGCCGGCGGTATTTTTTTTTGTTCCCCCCGAATGGGCCCGGCGACGTGACGAAGCTCGCGGGTCATCCGAGATGAGCGCCGGAGACTCGGATTGCGAGCGGCAAACAGGGACTCCCATTGTGCCACGCGCACACTCTTGGCGGCTCGCTCGTGGCGCCAACGCAACGGCTACGGCTCCGCTCGGCACTGACATCACCACCATCACCAACGCCTCCTCCTCCTCAATACCCCCCCCGCCCCTTGTTCCAAGAGGCCGAAGCAGACAGAACGCATCACGTGGGCTTGCTTGAGTGACTCGGCACCAAAGGCCAAGACCGCCACCGTGCAGCCTTCAACAGGGGCAAGTTGCGAGCAGTGGCGACCAAGGCCGTGTGTTTGCACACGAAAACACACACACAGACACACGTGTGTGTGTGTGTTTGCACATGCATGTGTCTGTGTGTCTGTGTCTGTGTGTGTGCCTGTTTATGGGGAGCGGTAGTGTAGCGGTTAGCGCGCTGCACTAACCCGGCGACATGCGTTCGATTCCCGTTCACGGCCAACACCAGTGACGATTATCCGAACCGGTCGTGGGCCTTCCCTATGTCGACTCAGCTTTAAATGAGTACCTGGTGCGGCGTGTGAACATGGCCACTGGGGAGACAAAGGCGGCCGGGCGTGGTGCTGGCCACCCACCCCATCGTGAGCCGTTCTGGCCGTCATAGGTGCTCGCTCACAGCACTTGCCCCAACAGTCTGTTAAGTCTATACGGGGTATCTTTGTCTTTGTATGTGTGCGTGTGCACACGTGTGTGTACGAGTGTGGAAAGTTCATCCCGGGGTACATGACGCACAGAGGCGGCGCGAGGCGTTCCTCGCCTCCATCCCTGGTGTCAACAAAGCAGGAGAAAAAAAATCCCCCCGTTATTTATTTATTTACATCCACTGAGAACAAAAAGGGCAACAGCCTTGCAAACCTGCACGCTTCCTGTGCGGGGGGGGGGGGGGGTTCGTTGTCCCTGAATCCAAGTGGCTCGCGGCCTCAGCGGACGGAGCGTTATCGATCCACGTGGCGACGAGTCTGCCTGCACTCCGCAGGGCACCGCGGTGCAATACCCCGGAGCTGCGTGCGGACGTTGGCCCAACGTCCGCACGCTCACTGGGACCGCATTCTCCAGATGATAAGACGCAATGATCTCGCCCGTGCGGTATCTTAAAAGGAACTGTGGGTGGGGTGTCTTACAATCTGGTGTGCCTGTGTGCGTGTTTCTGAGTGATAGTGGAGCGGTTCACGTGTTGCACTTACGAACCCGGCCACCTGAGTTCGATTCCCACTGACGGCCAACACCGGTGACGATTAGCTGAATCGGTCCTGAGCATCCCCTAGGTCGACTCAGCCTCAAATAAGTACCTGGTGCGGTGTGTAACCATCGCCACTGGGGAGACAAAGGCGGCCGGGCGTGGTGCTGGCCACCTACCCCCTCGTGTGCTGTATCGGCCTTCATAGGTGCTCGCTAACAGCACTTTCCCCTACAGGCCTGGGTGGGTGGGTGAGTGGATGGGTGAGATAGTGGGTCAGTGAGTGGCCTCAATGTGCACATAGCCTGGCACAAGCACCGTGGTGACGTGACCGCCACTTGGTGGCAAATGGTGGTTGTTGTTGTTGAGTGGGTGGGTGAGTGAGTGGGTGGATGAGTTAGTGGGTCAGTGAGTGAGTCAATGCTTGGCTAACTGGGTAAGTGGATGGGTTCGTGAGTGGGTGAGTGGGTGGGTGAGTGAGTGGGTGCGTGGGTGAGTGGATGAGTGGATGAGTTGGTGAGTGGGTGAGTGGGTGAATAAGTGGGTGGGTGAGTGGGTGGGTGAATACGTGGGTGGGTGAGATGTTGCGATCTGCAGTATATTGGTGGTGGTTGAACACAGCGTGTGAGAGACGAGACAGCATCCGATAGACCGAGTTCTCAACATGGGTGGAGAAACCAACGAGTGAATGTCAGTAACTATGGCAGTAGTCACGATAAAGGGGCTACAAAGAAGGTGAGTGACCGCAGCGAGTGCCGCTTTACTCCAAAATCTACAAAGCGCAGTGAGAGGTAGATTTGGTCGCGGTCTCTGCATTCTACTTGGATGCGATTGCTGCGTATCAACAAGATGCAGGATTAGATTTGCTCTTCCGGACAGGGGAACCGCACGCGCATGCGTGCAGAGCGGCAAGCGTCTTACGTTTCCATGGGAGGAGGGATGAATCATTAAACGCAAACGCCTCGTCAGGGCGGCAGGGTGCTTCGGGGGTAACGCCGCCTCACGTCAACCCGCTGTTTCGATTCAACTCCACAGGCACCGCGGGACAGTTCAGCCTGGTTGAACACGTGCGTGGGTCGGTCACCCGACATTCGAAGGGAAATACAAGTTTTGGCGCGTTTGTTTTCATAGGAGACTAATTTGTCGACAAACATGGCGGTGGAAACGGTTCGCGCGCGGCGCTACGAACCTGGCAGCCCCGAGTTGGATTCCAGAACGCCTTGCTGGGGCCTGCCCCTAGGTCGACTTGACCTTAAACGAGTGCCTGGTGCCTAACCACCAGGCCCAGTGCCTGGTGCCTAACCACCAGGCCCACTGTGGCAGCATCCCAGGCGCCCATATGCACGTCATACAAACGACTCCACTTTACACACAGCTCATCGGTCCGATCGAAGGGGTGCGTTGGTGCCCGATAACAAACGTGGGGCACGCGAGAGAGGAGTGAGTGGAATGCCAACGCTGGCCTCCCTCCCTCTCTCCCGGCATCCAGGGGAGATGTCAGACGCCCGCAATGACCTTCGCTGCGACGCAGAGAGACTCCCCGAGCGAAAGGCCAACTCCACGGTGGGCGAGGCGGCGGCGGTCGAGCGGCACCCCGCCAGGCGGAGAACGAAAAAAAAATCGCAGCGCGACAGTAAATCCTTCGATGCGGCACACGATGAACTTCACTTGCTATTCGCTCTCGACGTGCGTCCGTGTCGTGATACGCGTGTCCGGCCCGGGCGGTGGCGGCGGCTTCGCTGCTGCTGCTGCATGTGGCTGCACGTGACTGCTGCTGCTGCACGTGACTGCTGCCCGTAACCCGGCGGCGGCGGGGGTCGGTGGATCGCCGCACGGACGCTGGCGAAACTCCCCGGTAGGCGTTGGCGTCGAGGAGGAGACGTGCCTTGAGGATTCGGAGCCCTCTCGGTGCAAGGAGGACCCTTGTCTGCTACACCGGGCGACGCAGCTGCACTTCCATTTAACAGCTCACAAAGACCCGCCGGAGCGAGTCCAATGGCTCTCAGGCTTTAAAAAAATATAGAAATATAAAACAAATGTTGTGCGACTCCCTTATTCCGCGTGCGTGTCGAGGATGAGGAGCCGTACCTCGGCTGTGCAAGGAGAAGGCGGTTACAGCAAAACTGTGGACACCACTTGTTGCGTTCGTACGGGATCGAGTACTGCCCCCTCGCACGCCTTGACGTTATAGAGGACCACAGATTGCTTGGGCAGATGCGGGCCCTTCCCCGCCCCCTCCGTGCTTCCTCCTCGGGCCTCCGACTCGTTCTATCTCCCGATCCGGCGAGCACTGGCGTGGCGGGTCACGTGCCGAAATTATTGCAATCGTTAATTATTGTCTCGTGTAATAACGAGCGCAAGAATCACCCGGAAACGAGGTTGACGTTCCTGCAACTCAATTGCTCGGTCGGGAATTTCGAGGTGCGCCACGCACGCGCACGCAAGGGCACGCGT